TGTCGTCCCTCCACCCACTGTCGCCCCTCCACCCATTGTCGTCCCTCCACCCACTGTCGCCCCTCCACCCACTGTCGCCCCTCCACCCACTGTCGCCCCTCCACCCATTGTCGTCCCTCCACCCACTGTCGTCCCTCCACCCACTGTGGCCCCTTCACCCTCCACCCACTGTGGCCCCTTCACCCACTGTCGCCCCTCCACCCATTGTCGTCCCTCCACCCACTGTGGCCCCTCCACCCACTGTCGCCCCTCCACCCGCTGCCGCCCCTCCACCCACTGTCGCCCCTCCACCCGCTGTCGCCCCTCCACCCGCTGCCGCCCCTCCACCCGCTGTCGCCCCTCCACCCACTGTCGCCCCTCCACCCGCTATCGCCCCTCCACCCGCTGTCGCCCCTCCACCCGCTGTCGCCCCTCCACCCGCTGCCGCCCCTCCACCCGCTGTCGCCCCTCCACCCACTGTCGCCCCTCCACCCACTGTCGCCCCTCCGCCCGCTGTCGCCCCTCCGCCCGCTGTCGCCCCTCCACCCGCTGCCGCCCCTCCACCCGCTGCCGCCCCTCCACCCGCTGTCGCCCCTCCACCCGCTGTCGCCCCTCCACCTACTGTCGCCCCTCCACCTACTGTCGCCCCTCCACCTACTGTCGCCCCTCCACCGACTGTCGCCCCTCCACCTACTGTCGCCCCTCCACCTACTGTCGCCCCTCCACCCACTGTCGCCCCTCCGCCCGCTGTCGCCCCTCCACCCGTTGTCGCCCCTCCACCCGTTGCCGCCCCTCCCTGTTGAACTCTGGGAAAGATACACAAACTATCTACAAACAACACAGTCAAACCGTTACACTGCGTGCAGGCGATGAGTCACAATAACGTGGCTGAAGTATGTTGACCAGACCACACACTAGAAGGTGAAGGGACGACGACGTTTCGGTCCGTCCTGGACCATTCTCAAGTCGATTGTGAGATTGTGAGAATCACAATCGACTTGAGAATGGTCCAGGACGGACCGAAACGTCGTCGTCCCTTCACCTTCTAGTGTGTGGTCTGGTCAACGTTACACTGCAGTTCACTGGAACAAGCACTCTCCTTGATTAATGGTCATTAACAGCAAGCTTTCACTCTTTCCCAATTAACATACTTAACGAACTTATTGACACAAACAAATATTTAGCAAACTGGCTAAATATTTGGCTAATATTTCTGGTAACAGATCATTTTGAATGAAATATTTACACATCTCTCGAACATTTGTTATAGAATTGTCTCTAAATTCACGTATGTTTTCGCACTCCATCACATAGTGACGGAGGGTGTTAATAATTTTGTTGACAGTTTACATTTGGTCAGATCTACATCAGCAGATAATGAGAATTCCCAGAGATACTTGTAACCGAGCCTAAGCCGAGCAGTAGTAACATCTAGAAGTCTGCTGATTTTATTGGATGATCCATAGATGTGTGGCTCCTCTTGCATGATAGCATGATGATAGATGGAATTACTGGTGTCGATTTCACTTTGCCTCAGATCTACAAGATTTTGTTGAAGTTCTCGGTGTACTGCTGCTCTCAGACTGCTTATTGGCAATCCAAGGTTATACTCAATTGACCAATTGAAGTCGACACGCGAGCGAGGGAGATTGAGCTTACTATCTCGATCTGCTCTCAGAATGTTCGGTAATACGTTTATTGCTTGTGATGTGTGTATGTATGTATTAACACGATGTACTGAACGGGGTGAGAATAGCTTGAGCTACCTCATCCCTTTGTGTGTATTTTACCTCAATAAACTTATTTCAATTTCAATTCAATCTCGATCTGAGGTATCTTGACATTATAAGGCGTGCATGTTAGATGTAATTGTTCAACCCGTTCTTGCGAGAATTTCCAGTGTCAAGAAACTGTCGTACTTAAGTGCCCTCTCTTAACCTACCAGAGGATCCATGAACAGAAAACGGAACTGTCATTTTTGCGAGCCGCTACCATTTTCTAGTACGACAGTTTTTAGCCTTAGGTAACGCGTGCGTCCAAAATTCGACGTACTATTAGTAGGACGGGTTGTCTAGAACCCTATGGGTGAGAAAGCATCTCCTGTTTTCTGCCTTGCATTGTAGTTTGTTAAGCTTGAAGCCATTACGAAGTTACCAATCAATGGAATAGTATTTTGTGCACAATAAGCTGCTACTAATTGGATGAGTATTGTGTACACAATAAACTATACCGCTCACAGGATGAGCATTGTGCACACAAACTAACGCTCACAGGATGAGCATTGTGTACACAAACTACCGCTCACAGGATGAGCATTGTGCACACAAACATGATGTGTACGCTCACAGGATGAGTATGGGGTGCACAATAAACTATCACTTACAGCAGGCATGTTAAACTGAAGGTCTCCCGAGGGCCATATGGGCCACATTTGTGTTGTCATGAGGGCCACACACCACATCTAATTGAAGTCATTTAATACAAATTATTGTAGAAAATTTGTATTACTTTAACTTAGAAACATACAATGTGCATACAAATGGTTTAGCGACTAGCCACATTCGTGAATGCAAAGTAATGATGTAGTTTAACAAAAGAACAAAACGAAATTGTAAACGAAACCATAGATTCTATGCAACAGCAACAAATACATTGTACAGAATTTACAACAGTTCAAAATGAACATATATTTACGATTAATCAATTATTTTTTGTGTTTTGTCCCGAGGTTTGACTCCTCTTTTTAATGACAATTTTTGCTGTCTGGCTGAAATGTCTGCGCCGTTCCCATTTTGATCAGAAATAATCAAAGTCTTCTACTCCGAGAAGCTTTTGTTGATTTCATTAAGGAAAATAAGTGTTCACACACATAGGTACAACCGAACATTGCCATAATCCTTGTGGCAAACTTTCTGAAGTTTTTAAACTTTTCATCTATTAAAAGGTGATTGATGGTTTAAATGATAAAAACTGCAGTTTTGGCCGTTAAATTACAGTATCCTCTGTGTGAGCTGCAAGTGTGCTTGCAAAGGGCTTCATGCGGCCCACGTGTTTGTAATGCCTGAATTATTTACAGGATGAGTAAGGGCGTGCATGCAAGTGATTGTAACCTTTCCACCGCCGCCGCCCACTGGATGGGTTTGGGTTGCATGATAAACAAATTATTACTATATATAGCCGCCTTAACTAACAAACCTGTAATTCTGTGTTAGAGCTTATTGAGGTCATTGTATGTGAGGTCGATTTAAAAAAACGGAAGATACTTTTGATGTATTTATGTTACATTGTGTAATTAGCTCACTTGTGTTACTTGCTAGGTAAAAAATTATTGGTTATGTTGCTGAACTAATTATTCGCCTCTGTAACCTTATCTACTACCACTCAAGTGGATAAGTATGGGGTGCATAGTAACTTGATCTAGTCGCACCAAGCTAGCTAGGTACTTATGAACTTATTTAAAAAGTGGTAAATAATATGTCATCCCGAACTAAATACTTCGATCTTTCTGGAACATTAGTGATCAAATTTGTCCAAACTCTTGTTGTATTTGTTCAGCTACAACTGGCCGCCGCAGCTACAACTGGCAACCAAGCGATGCACATATAATATTACGAATTGTTATTATGGTGGGCGCCTGCCAGAGGCTACACACTAGCCTCGGGCAGGAGCGACACGCACACGCAACCATCATTGCACGCGTCTGGAAATGAATGTTGCAGTCATCCTGCAAGAAGGTGGATATTACATACTCTGTTAACAAGATTTTTAATGTATACTCCCTTACATAGACGATCAGCAGCACACTGATGTGTACCTCAGCTTGGTGATAAAACTAAATGATCTAGAATTCTAGCACGTATACCAAGTTTACTTCCGTAAAACGCTAGTTTAGCAAACTAAACTATGCAATTACTCTTGGGAGACTATGACACTACTCTTGATAAGTTATGCAACTAGCTTAAGACTAACTTTCTCAGCTAAATGAATTTATAGTGGGTTCAATTTCTGAGGCCATTGTACGTGCCTCTAACCTTTTCCTCTACCACCCACGGAATGAAGAGTATGGGGTGCATAATAAACTGACCTCTCCTGACTTCATTAAACTACATCTCTTGTAGGTCAGCTGCGACGTCGTCGCAAGCTTGCTCCACAACCAATAGATGCACGTACTTTATATATAATATCTAGCAGTCTAATTGTGTGACGACTATTTCTTCAGTACTGTATTTTCCTTCTTGTTAAATGGGTGCAGCCGAGACATCTCCTCCGCCACTCACATGTGATTTACATTAATAATAAATGCATAGAATTGTATACAATAAATGAACTGCTCCTGGGTGCCTACTTAGTGCTAGGTGAACAGGCACATTAGGTGATAGGAAACGTGATTAACCATTTATATTGTGTCTGGGATTCGAACTCATTATTCTGGATAGAGTCGTCAACAACCTGACTGTACTACCCTGATCCTATATTCAACTTGTACCATCTCAATATATTAATTAATTTATTTATATATATATATATATATATATATATATATATATATATATGCAAGGTACATTGGGTTTTTGAGAGTACATAGCATTGATGTTTTTACATTCTTGTTAAACCACTAACACGAGTAGTGTTTCGGGCAGGTCCTTAATCTAAGATAATTTTAAGTAGGTCATTTGTCTAACCTATTGTATTTTATTTTATTGTTTATTTATGTACAAGAAGGTACATTGGGGCTTGAGAGTACAGAGCATTGAAGTTTTACATTCATGTAAGGCCACTTGTACGCATAGCGTTGATCCTTAAAATTTGTTACATAGTCTTGCAAATGTGTGAAAGTTTGCACATGTAAGATAGATAGATATTTTATTCAGGTAAAGGTACATACATTGAAGATGAGTTACAAACAATGTTAAAACTTAAAGATAGAGCTAGTACATACAATACGTTAAGCCACTAGTAGGCATAGCGTTTGGGGCAAAGGGTGTTAGAGAGGAGGAAGTCTGAAGATGGAGGTCAATTACCTGATGTCAGTAGCCGTGTTGGGCGCCCAGCGGCAGCAGTGGAGCTGTTTGCCTTTACCGTTGACTAAGAACTTTGTGTCGGGCCCCACTGTGCTCTTGACCTTGGCGGTGGGAGCCAGGCTAGTGGCCTCGCTCGGCTGGACCTTGCTGCTCATCCTCGCCACGCTGCTGCTCTTTTCTGACCTTAACCAGCGGCAGTGATCGACCAAGTCCAAATATAACTTGCCTTGGCGAGGGCTGACGCCACAGCTAAGGAGCCCAAACTGACTTAGGAGCTCTGTCACCCGGTACACACACACACACACATTTACTACACTCCAAGTCACAAGTTTAGTGGGGAAAAGTCTGGTTGGGTGTTATAATACTGCATGGTTCATGACTCAATCCACTGCTGGCATAACAAGAATTGAAAACTTTGGTTGACTAGTGAGGGAGGAGCAGCATGAGCGGCGCGCATCTCCTCCATCGGCGGCCGTACAAGTGTTGCGTCTCGCTCCACCTCCAGCTGTTGGCTTCTCCAAATATCGCACAGTCAATTTCCCCTTAAGTGTTAAAGATCCTTTACTAGCCAAAATACATTTATAGAACTATATTAAAATATTTGTTAAAGTTCTATATATGCGTCTTAGATTGATAAAACGGGAAGCATTCGAGCAAGAGTATGCATTGTTCGTACGTCCGGCAGGGTTGCAAGACCGGTGGCAGGGCGACGCCATCCCCATGACAACCATGCAATTTGCCATTACACCTTACTGGAATAACTATATCAAGTTAATTTAGTTCATTTATTACACATCCCATACTCGTCCTGTGAGTGCTAGTGGAACAGGTTACAGGCATATAATTGGCTCTGAAACTATACCCCCATTAAAGTTCGTATATATGTTTGCACAAAATTAAGTTAATTATTTCTGCTTATATAATTGCAGATGAGCTAAGTAGATGGAACAGTAGAAAGCCTATTAAATTGTTTACGAGAATTACCAGAGGGCCACCATCTGACACGTGAGATGACCTGATATGTGAGTTGACTTAGCTCTGGAATTATTTTTTTTTTTTACTGCTGCGCCAACTTGTTATGCAACTTTCAGTGAATGGTAGATTTTGACTCCAAGGTCATCCATCATCAAACTGCTGCAAGGTATTGTTATTAATTTGGTAGTCGTGACGTGGGTTGTTTTGCCCCCACATGTAAGGTCTTGATCTTTCGATATTAAAAAGCATTTGCCAGTCTAATGATCATTTGTAGAGTTCATGTAGATCTCTTTCTAAGACTTTAATATCTTTTTAATTTCCCACTTCACCATAAATTTTTGTGACATCTACATATTTGATGATGTGGTTTGTAATATTCTCAGCCATGTCATTGATGTACAGTATATGACAAAAAGAGTTGGCCCCAAAATGGCCTCCTGTGGTACCCCACTCACCACATTTTTCCAGTCAAATTTATTCCGGTTTAGCACGACTCTTTGTTTTCTTAGTTTTAACCATTGTTTTATCTTCATCACATTTTTAGAAATGTTAACTAGGTATGGTAACATGCATTGAATTTTGTAACTAGCTCATCATGATTGTAACTTGCTTAGCTAAATGAATTGTGGGGCTCGGTCCCTGAGCCCATTATGTGCCTCTGTAACCCTTTCCACTACGGTCCACAGGATGGGTATGGGGTGCATAATAAATGAACTAAACTGGTACCCAGCTACTCAAGGACTTCCAGTAGATGTAGTATACATGGATTTGCTAAAGCTTTTGATAATGTACCGCATGAAAGACTAGCAAGGAAATTACAGGCATGTGGAATAAATGGTAAATACTAGAATGGATAAAATAATAGTTAAAACAAAGAAAAGAAAGGGTTGTCCCTAAATGAAAATAAATCTGACTGGGGAAATGCAGTGATTGGGGTACTGCAAGGGTCCATTTTGGGGCCAACCCTTTTTGTCATATATATAACAATGACAGATAAGAATATTACAAACCACATCATCAAATTTGCAGATGCCACTAAGATTTATGGTAAAGTGAGAAATGAAAATGATATTGAGGACTTTCAAAGATCTCTACATGAACTCCATAAATGGTCATTAAACTGGCAAATGCTTTCTAATATTGAAAATGCACGACTTTGCATGTGGGACAGAACTATCCACGTCACAACTACAAAATTAATAACACCTTGCAGAAGATTGATGAAGAAAAGGACCTTGGAGTCATAATCCATCATTCACCAAGTTGCACAACAAATGGAAGCTGCAGTAAAAATAAGCTAACCAACCCATAGGAATAATGAAGCAAACTTTGACTTTAGGGAAAAGAAAGTAGTTATTCAACTGTATAAATCTCTGGTGCACCCCCACTTGGATTATTGAATCCAAGCATGGAGATCTAATCTTCAGTAAGACATAGCTGCTTTGGAAAAAGTTCATCACTGGGCAACAAAAATCATTCCAGAGCTCAGTTAACTCTACTACCAGGAACAGTTGAGGGACACAGGCGTAATAACACTGCAGACCAGACATGACGGGGTTGATCTCGAAACTTTTAAAAGACTAAGTATTTCAAAGGATATTGATCCAGACCACTTCTATAAAAAGGTCTGATGTAATACAAACAAGGAGCAATGATTTCAAGCTCAACAAGGCATGATGTAGCACAGGAAACTGGAAATTATTTTTCACCCATAGGGTTATAAACCTATGGAATCGTCTATCCATCAAAGCCATAAATGCCAAAATGCTGCCGAGTTTCAAAATACAGCCCGACAAAATCATCAGGACAAATGGTGGGACCTTCGAAAAGTTACCGGCTTACTTGCCTTATTGAGATCATTAGAGAGAGTGGTTCTCATGTAAATTTGAGCTGTGATAAGATTTGTCAGTCTACCAATATTGATTCTTGCCCCAACTTACTATTTTTTTGACACATTTAACCGTGATAAACAATAGACCTGCAATATAATTAGTGTTTGAACTCTTCTACTTTCATTAAATTCATGTAAGGGTTTTTGTCTATAATAACACTTTAAAATTCAATTTGACAGCTCAAGATTATGTTCAACAGTGTTTTTAGTAATAATGAACTTTATTAGATTGCAACCCAATGGTCGAGGGGATCCACAACAATTTGACTGGCCCCCTTATTAGATATAAGGGGCATACCTACTACTACTGCTATTAGGTGTATGTGCACATACATGTATGCATACAGTATATATACTAGGTGGGATACCCAACAGTGTCTGGATCAACCCAGATCTGTTTCTGTCTTCTTATTTGTGTCTGTCTAAAATTAAATAAAAATTGACCTGCACACTGTTACTGGTATAACAAGGTTGTGTCCATCTCTCTAAAATAAATACAAGTAACCTACAGTGACTAGTCTAAGAATCATTCTCTGTCGTGCACACTCCATATTTTTTTTTTGTTAACTAAATCTAGGGTTCATTACGAATCTCATTGATGTTGATGAGAAACTTTCATGATGCACAATGATATTTGGGTTTCTTAGCAATGAATTGAAAATAAAGTGTAAATCCAGCATGCCAAACATAAATATTGTTCAAGTATCATAATTATGGATCACCCAGTAAAATTATAGACCATCTAAATCTAAATGTAACTTTTGGGCAATAAAGAATATGCCAGAGTTGGTAGGAACTTCTTCCAACAAAATATTTATTTGTGAAATGTGAAAGTTACAAGGATGCACTGATTGAATGTAACTCAATTTTTAATGTTAACATACTATACAGTGTCTACAACAATTTGCAAATGGCTGATGTTTGAACACCATAACAAGTATATTTTAGAACAACAGATTATACAAAAACTTTATTATATATGAGAATAAGAGCCTATTTATTTGCTAAACAACACAACAATTCAATCTATAAAGTTAAAAACCAATGACGTCAAATGTTTATATGGTGTTATACTGGTTACGAAAAAATGGCAATTTGTCCGTTTAAAATGATTGAAGCCTTAAATTTTATGACTAGGATTTGTGAAGATATAATACAAAATTATTATTTTGCTTAAACATAGAGAGATTGTATGAGAAAATATTGAAGCTGTATGATGAAGCTTTAAACTTGCACTGTATCTAGTGCTACCCAATCCCCCAATATATGTACCTAAGCCATATAACTTTACCATTGTAATCATTGGTATCATCTGATATTATGGTTGTTATATTGAATGCATATTTTACTACAATATTCCTTGAAATGATCCTCAAATTGTGCTATAATGAACCATTTGATAACCCTCAAATTTTACCCTAATGTATCTACTAATCTGTTATTATAGTGTACAGAATATCATTGTGTATTAATCTAATCTTTGTGTATTGTGTCAAAATTTCTTACAATGTACTTGTAAACATTATTTGTCAATTTTTCTGGAAATTATCTACTTAAATTATCTGTTAGATTAAGGACTTGTCCAAAATGCTATGGGTGCTAGTGGCTTTACAAGAATGCAAAAATCATCATTGCTATGTACTCTCTTAACCTCCCAATGTACCTTCTTCTATATAAATATATAAATAAATAAATAAATAAATAAAATCCGTTTCCCTAAACTCCTTAAGGGATGGGTTTGGTCCTGTCATACAGCTTCGGTATTTTATCATGGATGTACTGTATTGCATTCTCGTAATTTTATTGTGCAAAGAGAGCGTATCTTTCATGAACTTCAGATGTAACTAAGCAACTATGTTATTAATTTTAAGAATGAGATCATGCTCTTTTCACACACTTAACAGTTAAAACTAATACTTATGAATAAAATGGATTAATCCAGCATGGAAGCAAACTACTTATCTTTCGAAAATTCATCTTTGCACACAAAAATTACTGTACTAACATTGAATTTTGTTTCAATAATAATTAACCAAATAGGTTCAACAAATACATCAAATTGCTACTTTGAACTTAACATTGGTCCCTGGTTGTATGGTTTAAGATCATACAATGATTTGAATACAAGCCATTCATAGTCTTGCTAATGAAATATAAAAGCAGCAAATTCAAATATTTTAATTATTTTTGTCATTGGGACAATTATTTCACATAGAAATGAACACAATTTTTTCCTTTAGTTCTTTGAAGTAAGCGTCCTCCCACGGCCAAGTTTTATCCTATGGATAAAAGATCCACTCTTTTATCACCACTGGGTGGTGACAGGGTAGGAATGTGTTCACTTCCTTCTCACAGTGAAGGAAGTGAAAACATAATTATGATTCAGCCCACTCTTATTGCTGCAGTCACAACATCTTTGTCATCTTTGTCTTCAGTCGCTACAACACCTGTCCTTACGTCTACACTCACCTCAAACAGCAACTACAACCTGTCATTTTTATGTCTACAGTAACAACAATAACCAGTTCTCTTTTGCTCCATGGTCACTACAACAACCTGTCCTTTTGCCTACAGTCACTACAACTACCCATCCTCCTTGGGCCAGATTCACGAAGCAGTTACGCAAATACTTGTGAACGTATACATCTTTCCTCAATCTTTGATGGCTTTGGTTACATTTATTAAACAATTTACAAGCATGAAAACATCCCAATCAACTGTTGTTGTTGCTATAAACAGCCTCTTGGTGCTTCGGAGCGCCTTAAGTGTTTAATAATTGTAAACAAAGCCGCCAAAGATTGAGAAAAGATGTACAGGTTTGTAAGTACTTGAGTAACTGCTTCGTGAATCTGGCCCCTTATGTCTACAATCACTACAGCTACCCGTCTTCCTTGGGTCTACCGTCACTACAACTACCTTTCTACTGCCTTTCTATCTTTAGAGAGAGATCTCCATCATGTGGCTAAATATCTGTGAACCAGCTTGGGTTATATAAAAAAAAGTGAAGATATGATTGTACTCCAGAATCTAACTCAAACTAAAATATCACTGTTTCCTTAACAAGAAACAAACTCATAGTACTGTAATGTGAAAATGTAGAATTACATATTACTTATCTAGTTGATATCATGCATATGTCTTGTGAAGCATGCCTTGTCAAGTAACTTTCATGGACACATGGTTGCTTGTTTTGGAACTATCAGTTGGTTGCAACATAACACACTGAACTACTTTTGTATGGTAGATTAATTTCTCATTGTCAGGAGCAGGAACCCTGTTAGGTTTTTTGAGACCCCCCCTCTTCGGCCAACCATTGATCTTTTCCAGGATGCAACCAACATCAGTTGCTTAACCCCCGGGTTCCCATTGGCTACTAGGTGAACAGAGACATCAGGTGAAAGAAAAAATGAACAAACCTCTTTGTCCTGTTGTGGGAATTGAACCTGTGACCTTTTTGTTGTGAATTGACTGTGATGATCATTGCTGTAGTAAACAGAGTAAAATAGCAAATACTGTAGTTACGAATCACAAAGTACTGTACAGTGCTCATCCTAGAGTTTTGGGCGTAATATTTGGCCACAAGGTTTTCCCAACACTTCAGTAATGGAGTGAAGCTTCTGGTAGTCCGGCATGAGTACCAAATGGTCATCAATTCTGTAAGCAAGATACAAATTGAGACATTATTAAATTTATCAAAATTTAGAAGTAAATAATAATTTACCAAACATTTACTGAAACCTAAGAAAATTTCCTTTGCTTTACAAAATACTGCCTGTTTTGTATAAGTGATTACACACACTGGACACACAAACAGAAATAATCAAGCACACAGCCCAGCAATGATCAGATGAGCCAGGCTTGCAGCCCCACACACACACACAGGGGGGTCTGGTAGCTGAGTGGACAGCGTGCAGGACTCGTAATTCTGTGGCCCGGGATTAACATGATAATTTAGGGTGTTATAAGAGATAAATTGGTGCAATAGCTTTAATTATAATAGTGGCTCACATTATATTGACTTGAATGAACAATGAATAATATCTTACCCTTTGCTCTTACTAACAGCTCCGACTTTAATAAGAGTTCGAACTGCATGACGAATTGTGTCTAAAGAGAGTGCGGAATAGACTCCAGATTTTACTACCGATTTTTCTATGCATTCCTGAATAGCCGATACTAATGTTCCATTATCTAACCAGCCCTGGGATGCCTGCAAGTAAAACATAGTACAGTATAGCTAAAATTATATGTTTAAGATACATGTATTCATGAACATAGAACAAATTTAATTGATCAAAATGTTTAAGAATCCTCATCTAATTACTGAAAGAAAAACACTGAAATGCTGGAAAATCAAATTAAAGTGAAAATGCATTTCTTGAGACAACTGGCTTCATTCTTGAAAACAGTAAGACCATAACTTGATAAATCAAGCACTGAATTGAACATAACACCCATTTGCCAGAGCATAGGATATGGAAGCCACAGAGGAGAGGGCTCGGAAAATGTGGTGCCTGATTGATGATGCAAAATTATCTACCGAAATAACAAATACTTGGTATGTGAAAACGTGATCACTAAGTATACTGGGGATGCAATGAACTACAAGAAAAACAAAAAAAGAAACATTAATTAAAATTAGTCATACAAACCATGGTTTGTGCCGCACATGAATAGGTCAAGTTAAATGGCTTGAGAAGTGCCAGCAGTAAATTTATCAGCCTGCTGGTGTGACCCACTAGCTGAACCGAGCCTTGTATGACACTAACTTCTCCACTCCATGTCAGCACAGACAAACCACACATAAAATCCTGAAATAAACATGTTTATGTAGCAATATACTATTCACAATTACATTTTAAATATACGATAAATGATCTTAGAATATAAAATTGAATTGTATAATATAGAAGGATAAAAGATTTCATTTGATTTATAAAGAGAGCCATGCAGCATCTCCCTGTAGCTAAAGCAGTGAGGCTACCAAGTCTTTGTCCAGGCCTCTGGGAGCCAGGACTTGAGTCTTGCTCATGCTCCCCAAGCTCCTCTTCAGATATCAACCCAAAACCCAGACAAAAACCCAGCATTGAATAAAATTAAATGCCTTTTTCTGGGTGAGCCCCGGTGGCTTCCTTAAGCTATCTTGCAGCGATGACTCCCAACTGCTAGGTCACATCAACCATGGAGTTATGTTTGGCCTACCAGAAACTGGAGCCAGAACCTGGCTTCCCTCATAAGGGCTCAGAGAGCAGGTGATAAACTGTCACTTCACTGGGAATGCATCCAAGAAGTCAGTGAACCAATACAGACCACTGCTGTGTTCAAAAGAGACCGAAGCCTCAAATACTTCCAAATGAATTCCTCAACAATGTAAACAAATGATCGAATCTCTTGAAACAAGCACAAGCTTTCTAGCAGTATATAGTATTATTAGATGGGAGACCTAGATGATTTGTCATGTTCTTGAAATTGCCCTGTCATAATTCAGATCCAAGGGAACCCAAGGGCCCCCATGGCTCCCTAATCTGACTTCCCTAAGCCCTGGAAACCAAACTCGGAGGCTCTGGGGCAGAGTCAGAGTCCAAGCCCACTGCCCAGAATAGTTAAGTGGAATCTAAAGGCCTCGTAAGGAAGGGGTTGCATGGAAGGAATAAAACCCCCAAATTCCTCCATACCCAAAGTGGAATGACCCACCCCAGAGAGAGCCGAGCTAAATTCCAGGTGCCTAAAAACAAGACTGGCCAACTCTGGCCATCCAACCGGGCACACAACTAAGACCACTGAAGGCAGGTGAAATGAACCCATAATGTGGTAGCTGCCTGATACACTTGAACTTCATTAGGAGGGTCAGAGAGATTAGCCACATGGGAAGAGCAAACCTCACAGGACTCAAGGTCGTAGGTGTCACCAACTGAATGGTGAGCATGGCAGAGAGAGAATGAAAGATTGTCTTCACATGAAACAGACAACAAACAGCCCTCAATCTCACAAAGGGCGACAGTGAGTTTGGAGGGTATATCCATATGACACACCAAAACCCAAAGGGTGAATCCTAGGGCCTACTAACCAAGCAAGACACCAAAGACTGGAGATGCTTGCCGGATATTATGAAGAAGACTGACACAACCTAGTTAATACAGCTGTGAGGTCCAGTAGTCTAGCCTCTGAAAAGAGTAAACTCATGAACACACCAGGGAAGAGACCTATCCGTGTAGGAGCAGCACCAGGAAGCACTCGGTTAAAGTAACCCTGAGCACATGTAGTACCAAGCACTCAACGAGCCAGGTTCAGATGAGTCAAACACAAACCAGATGAAAAACACTCATGAAGCTTGACTAAAACAAGCAACACTATCAAGCAAATGGCACCTGGAAGGATAAAACCCAAGGAAGGCTGGCACTTAGCTTAGAAGCAGCGGGACCTGCACGGCTTACTTGTGACCCTAGAGCCTTACAATGGACCTCTGCACACATCTGCATCAGAACTGGTGTAAGGGGGTTGGAGGGAAAAAAAAAGAGCTCTAACCCCTCACCACAACTGGTGGGGAAGGGGGTAGTACTGTACTAACACGCTCATGTTAGTTCCAAGAGAAATTTGATAGTTTGTTTACACTATCAGGGAACTCCATTTGGTGGTTTTGTAGCTTTGGTCTCTTTGAACCTAGCAGTACAGTAATCTGTATTTCTACACGGACTTTCTGGATGGCCTCCAAGCGGGGTGAGGGATGTCACCTGCTCTCAGCCCCTCGAAGAGGAGGGAGGCCAGGTTCTGGCTCTGGTCCCTGGCAGGCCAAACATAATTCCTTGGCTGATGTGAGCTAGTAATTTTGAGTCATCTCAGCAAGATAGCTTCAAGGAGCAACAAGGGCCTTTCCCCAGAAATGGGATGTTGAATAAAATGTTTTTACCCACAAAACAGCACTGTATTGTATTATGATACCACACAGTATGTGTGAATCACTTCAAATGATGTAATAAAATGTGTATGCATCAACCCATCCTCACATTAAATGGATCTGTATTTTAATGTGAGACACACATGAGCACAAAACTTTATATATATTGAGAAAATTACAGTACCTATACACAGGAATTGTATACTGTCTTTAGTAAAACTCACTTCAGAGAAGTTATGTTGTACAGTTGATAGGGACATTCTCTAAGGTTCATACATACATTTGTAGGTTAGTCAAACAATATGCATGCATGTCAGATGTGAAAATGGGGTGACAAAGATTAATGGACATTAAAAGGTAAACATAAAATATGCACATTACAAAATACTGTACATATACATACTCTTCCTTCCAAATTCTTCTCGAAGATGAAATCATATCCAAAAAGCAAGCGAAGGAATACAAATCTTGACTGCAACTCTTCTGAAATTTAAGAGAAAATGGGTGAATAGCTATTGCATTCTATACAGAGCTTTTATTTATGCACTTTCCTTGGATTATATAAAAACAAAATTAATTGAATCAAATGCCTGTTTTGGTGGCCATTTAGAAGAACTTGAGGTTCGTACCAATCAAGGGTGGAGCTAACCCACACTGTCGAGACTTGTTACAATCGAGGATTGGGAGTCTACTCCCCAATAAAAATAAGCATCTGTTCAACTGTTTTTTGTGTGGTGTGTTTATAAATCGTCATTTAGGATGACTCAAGAGAGCTAGGATACAAACTGAATGTTCCAAGTCAACAGCCTGTGTACGTTTTAGTGTAGTCACAACGTGTGACTAGTTATCATGAAGATTCTATGCCCTTTTTATTATAAAAGCTTTTCATTCTGTATATTGACAATTATATCAATAGTGGAGGATCTGCTCTTGTTAATTCGTGATAATTTTGTTCATGTAACATTATAATTGTGAAGTGGGAACTTCATTTTGAGCCTATTTCATTATTTGAAAAGATTCAGTAGTTGCATGCTTTTCCAGTGACTGGAAATTCCAGTATTATTGTGTGTACTGTACATTAATCGGTAGAGGAGGAAAACCAAACAATTTTGTTTTCATATGCTCTTATGTGTATTGTGTGTACATTAATCAGTAGTGGAGGAAAACCAAACAAACAATTTTGTTTTCATATGCTCTTATGTGTATTGTGTGTACATTAATCAGTAGTGGAGGAAAACCAAACAAACAATTTTGTTTGTTTTCATATGCTCTTATGTGGTCTACTTTGTATATAAATAATAGTTCCTGGCTGAAAGTAAATCATTATCTTCAGTAACAAAATGTAAATACAGTACCCATAAAACATTATGTATGGCAATTTTTATATTTATAAATAAATAGGAAATATTGACAAATTCTAATTAATTACCTTACTTCTTAAAGATAACTAATTTCGGAGTTTCTCTTCAAGCAGGATAATAAATATTTACTGTAACGTCTTTTCAAGAAGAAATACAGTAGTGATAATTTTGCTGTGTTTTTGAGCTTGTGTCTTACCCTTGCTAGGAGGTCTTAAGAAGGATGGCATCTCCAAAGAGGTATTTGTTATCTAATGAATATTTTGTGTCACCGATTCTCAGATTTACTGGCTATAATTTTATATAGTCACATCATGATGTTTTGCGACTGTACTTTAAGTACAAAAGTAAGTAGGCTTTCATTACACATTTACACTAAGTGGATGTAGAAAGTTGCATTTCTTCCACTATGAGTGGGAGGAAATTCATTAACAGCAATAAAATCTTTTTATAAGATTGGCAAAACATGTGTGAGTAAGGGAGAAAACAGGAGATGTTTTTAATGTTGAGGTTTGCATGAGATAAGAGTGTATAATGTCTCTCTGGCACTTTAATATGCACATGGATGGGTTAGTTAGAGGCCAAAGGTAAGAAAAACATGAGTGGAAGGACATTCTTAGAAACGTGAATTTTTGTTATCAACATGTTTGTATGCAGATGAATTATGTTCTTTGCTAAGAATATACAGGAATTGCAAAAGATTATGAATGAATTTGGTAGTGCATGCAAAATTAGAAAGTTTAAGGTCAATAATGAAGAAAGCAAGGTTATGGTGTCCAAGAGAAAAAAATGGGATGTCATGGATTTTGTAGATCTTTACAGTGCAGCACGACAGTGATTCCAACTGTAGAATAAAAATGAGGAAAGGATATACTGCATTAGAAGAGGTTGCAAGCTTTAAGTATCTAGTGGATGGAGGTGTTACATAAAAATTCGAGTATAAGGTGAAATGAGTCGAAGAAGAGTGGCAGGAATGTTAGAATGGGTGTCAAGAAATGATGGAGTGTATACTACTGACATCCATGACACATGGAAATGGAAGGGGGCAGAGCGCTCAAAAGTAGTGGAAATTAACTTTCAAGAAAAGCAGCTGGTATTAGTATATTTTGTTCAGATCTTATTTTCCATCAGAAAAGATGACAGTGTTACAACTCACCAAGGGAGCAAGCAGCACTATGGCCAACAAGTGAGACCAGAGCCTGCGCCACCAATGCAGGCCGAATCAAAAGATGAAGGATTTGATTGATGTAATGCTGTAACATCAGGTGAGTTACAGCATAGTTCACAGTATTGCTGTTCAAATTGACTTCTGCAGAAAAACATATGAAGTTTAGAATCATTTTACTTCCTCTCCTGTCAATAAAAGATGAAAATTGTATGGACTGCCTAGCTCAAACCCCTCATAACTTTCAGTGTCAAAGACCATAGCAATTAATTAAACACATTTCATACTATGGTAATTATAAAATTATCAAATAATTTTCCCCTTCAGGGCTCTCCTCGTCCACTTATCCTTTACATTATTTTCGAGTAAGTACAACGTGCCCTCCAAAATCTGGATAATAACATGAATTTAAATGAAAATTCAGAGAATTCACTAACACAAAGATATAGAGAAACATCAAGATGGAATTAGACTATATATGAAGATGAAATTTTTACCTGTAAGATGAATCATTATACTCAAATAAGGTCTACGCTCATTTCATCATTTTTTATGTCATTGTCCTGCACAGTAAAAATTAAAGCACCATAATAATGATGTTTTTTGTGCATCAGCATTAATGGGTTAGGTGGGTTGCTTGGGTTTATAAGCTTCCGGTTAAGCAAAATTCACTGAACAAATCCACAAGGGCCGTGACGGGGATTTGACCCTACGTCCGAGAGCATTCCAGATGCTGCCTTAATCGACTGAGCTACGACATGGACAAATCCCTTGTGGATTTGTTCATTTGATGCATCAAGCTATTGTGATTTCTGTAGGCAAAAAACGTTGTTTTATAACAGAGGCATATTGAGAGAGAGGGATGAATATAATGTGGCCGTCATAATTGCAAGGACAGGAACATGAAAATAAAATTTCTTTAATATGAACAAAAATTCTTATACTTTTATCGTGGCCTTGCACAGATTGTATTCCTGGTTGATGGACTTGTTGGACATATACTGCTCCATCTTCAGAAAGCCTTGCGATAAGACAGTGAATTTCAAGGCTGCGTACGATGCCTTCATCCACTCTACCTGAAGAATTATTTAAAAATTAGGAACTTATTAATGCAGTAATATACAAAATTATTTTACATGGTTGTGTTATAAAATTAAAGAAACTATTTTCCTTTTCATTTATAAGTTACATTTTAGGCAAAATATAATATGGCAAAATATATATAATTTATAATATGCACCTTCAAGAGCAACATTACCACCAATCTTCTCTACTATTCCAATGAGCCACGTAACATCTTCTGCAAGCACCTTCAGTGGAAGTGACCACTTTCCAGACCAGAGTGTGTTTATCAGGTGTACACAGACCATGCTCCACACACTCACCACAGCCCCTAACTGAATATTTCTTAACATGTGGCAGCCAAGAGCTTCACAAGCACACAGCTGCAAGGAAAGAAAATTCATAATACATCCATGCAAATGACTTCCTGGAGAGCCCCTCTGTAGCTCCTTCATGCTACTAGCTAGTAAAAGCCTTGGGAAACATACTAGGACTCTGGCGACCCACAAGCATTTACCTTGGTCCATGACGAGAATGTGGCTCACTCAAAGATAATGAATGATTACTGAAACAGAGTGAATGACATTGCCCATACAATTGACAGGACATTCAAATATTACAGGGCAGCACAAATTGCATCCAGGTGATTTTAGCATAGTGCCCAACTGATTGGGCACTATGCTCAAATAGCAATTGAAATTGTTAAAGGTGTCAGGTCAAAATTAAGGGTTAAAAATGACAAAAATCAAATGTTGAATGGAATAGAGCAGTTTTTTATGGGGGGCCTCTATTAGTTCCCCAAGCTTAAATTTGGTACCAATAAGTTTTTTGCCCAAAACACTAGGACTCTGGGACCTACATGTCAACTACCAGAGGCCATGATTACAATCTGGCTCATTCTGTGAGGCAAAGGGAGCCAGATCAGAAATTAACCACAAAACTAGGAAAAACCCACCAGAAAGCATAGGTGATTGAACGAAATTAGGCCCCCCACTGGGGACACAAAGCCAATAATCTTGGCTGTGAGGTCTCAGCCAGTCTGCCCCCCTCCCCTCATTCTGCAGCTGCCCATGATAAATCCTACAACCCGACAAGGAAGAAATGAACAAATTGGGAACAGGAACCTACCCGGGTCCCACCAAAAAAAAAAAATATATATATTTTATTAAATTCAATACTTGACTTCTAGGAAGGAACCCTCAGTAGCTTTCCCAGCTTGTTAATAACAATGCCATGATAGAAAAGGCTGGCTTTTCCAGAAAGCAGTAAAGGCAGATTGGGAAAAGAATGCCTGTAGAAGAAGACACAAAGCAAAGAATGGCAGCTGTGAAGCAAGCCCTCAAATGCACACTAACATGGAAAGACTGACGAACAGCTAATAAGCAACGAGAGGTCAACAGCAGAAGAACTGGCTGGAGTCAAGCCAGAATATCAAACAACCACACAACCTCTGATTGGGAACAAATAGCTGGCTGACTGAACTGAACCATCACATGAGGAACCTGGAAAAAGTGGGCTATGAAAGAAGGGACACGATGGATTACAAATCATTTCCCGACCTCAACAGAGCAAGGAGAACACAAAAAATGGCAGACTGTGGTGACAGAACTTAATGTATAATGAGTCCTGGCACAGCAACTAAAGAACACCTGAGACAGCTGGAAAAGTAGGCAAGGACAAATCACCTTCCAAATGCTAGTAGAGAGGCTCCACCATAGGAGAATGAGATGAGGTGATTCACCAGTTGGCCTGCAACTGGTGAATCAAGAAGAGCCAGGACAGACAGTACCGAAGGAAACTGACATAAAGGACCATCACCATCACAAAGAAAAATGACAATGCAGCACCAAAAAGTCTGCCACCTGAGTATGACATAGTAGGCAGGAATCAAGGCCATGGCACCCTATGCACAATGATTGGCACAATGCCATGAACTAAAAGGCTGGGCATGCCACCAAAACCTCAGGAACAGGCAGACCAGTAACTAGGGCTGGACTGACCACATGGGAGCCCACAGATGAATATGTTCGCAAAACACACCAACCAAACCAATACTCCAACTCTAGATAGAGTGCAGCACCTCTATTTAAATCAGCCTGTCTCCAGGTTGATCCAGCCTGTGTCTCTGGACATCTACAAGTTGTGTACTCAGTAAAAGCCCAAATGTTACTGGCCTGTTTTGCTTGGCTGCCCATCTCTCTGAGTGGACCTCCCTCCAGTTGGTGTTCATAGGTCAGAGTCCTGGTGTTTACCAAGGCTTGGTTGTTTCCAGGTTCAGCATCAGTAGGAAGCCAGTGAGTAGCTCACCAAAAAGGTGATTGCCCTCTTTATCAATGATTTCAGACCAAATGGAATGAGGTACTCTGAGTTATTGTAGTTACTTTGTAACTACTACTATACTGTACTTCATACACTCACAAATATTGGAGAGTATTCTTGTGCGCAACCCAAATGTTGCTAATGCAGGCAAATAGATTAGACTCACTTTTCATGTTCTCTCCTGAGTTCATGTATGACTAACCATCCTGTGAGATGGGGATATTATATATGAACTTATAGCTAGTTTCTGATCTACACTCTATAATCCTTTATATACCATAGGGTAGCAGCACACTGCTGTGTATACCTAAGCTTGTAAGTAATTTTTTTGTTTTGTTTACAAACACTCTTTAATTCTAAAATTTACAGAAATTCTGCCAGGACTCCTAACAAATGATAGAACAGATTTACTTAAAAATTTACCTGTTACAATATCAATTACAACATAATCACTAAAATAATAAATAATAAAATGAATATTAAAATTAGGAGCTGGATGGTTAAAACTCGTAGTAATGTATTAAAAATAAAAAGTGATGCTATTAGGCTTACCTCATTCTTTGTAATAGATGTCAGATGGGAAGGTATAGATGCACTCAAGTGTCTGTCCACACGAGGTCCAAGAAATCCTCGTATGGACACTGGATCACCAACATTGACATATATATCTCCAAAATTTTCTTTCAAAATTCTTGTTGCTTTAAGTAGGCCCTGTAGTTATTTAAAAATAAATATTAACTACAACTCACTTTCTAAACAAATTTTTCAACCTTTCTTCAACATTATTTGAAGAAACTTGCTACAATGGCATAGTGCTTGAATGAAGGTGAAGGAAAAACCCAATACATGTGTAAGTGTAATAAAAGAAATTTTTTGGATGCTACCTACATCCTTTATAAAGGAGCCTTGATAAAGGTTATAGGCTGCATCCAAAAATTTGGTTTTAATACACTTACATGTGTTGGGTCTTTCCTTCAACTTTATAGTTATTTTAATATGCCTAAATATTCACAAATTTTGTTTAAAGACCCAAGACACAACAAAAATTTATATAACATAATATATAATATAGATAGTATATGCAGAATAACCATAGTGAAAAATTAAAGGTTAACAGCCACCCTCTGCTACTGATGCACGAGAGACATGGTAAGAGAGCTCGGAGGAAAAAATGTAGCCACCCCCTTCCCTAAGGACACAGAGTAATAAAGAAAAAGCCACTGAAAGTGCCACACTGGAGACCAAAGTAAGAGGAACATCGCTGAGAGCCCCAATGACTAGGTTCAAGAAGCACATGACTGGGGCCAGGTGCAGCGAGAATGAAAGTCTACCACAACACCCCAGCCGATAACTAAGGAGCCTGAACCTGCAGCCGCAACAACCTGATAACCCTCAGGAGAGTGGGGCAAACAGATAAACATGGAAAGGCACAAGAAAATGCAGCTTCTCCCCCACATCCCAGAAACCTGTAACACACACGTTGTAGGCAACTCAAGTGAGTGGGAACGACAAAACCAAGCCCAGCTGCTGGTTGAAAATGAATCTACCAGGTAATATATATTTGTTTTCACATCGAGAGAAAAGTACAACAAAGGGGATGTCTGCCAGCCAGGATGACACCAGAACCTCACAACACACCCAACTAAAACAAGATCTATGAGGAGAAGTTAGAGGCATTAAACATGACAAAGCTAGAAGATAGAAGAAAAAGAGGCAATATGATCACCAAGTATAAAATAGTAACAAGAATCAACAAAATTAATAAAGAAAAATTCCTGAGACCTGGAACTTCAAGAATAAGAGGTCATAGATTTAAGCTAACTAAACAAAGCTATCAAGAAAAAAAAAATAGAAAATTCACTCTCAGAGTGGTAGACATTGGAACAAGTTAAGTAAGAAGATGGTGGAGGCCAAAACTGTCAGTGGTTTTAAAGTGTTATATGACAAAGTGCTGGGAAGACTAGACACCACCAGTGTGGTGTCATCCTGTAACTACACTTAGTTACACAAATTAATTTACACACACACTACATACATTCTTAAAATAGGTGATTACACAGGCAAAATTACCCACTCAATAGTGGATAAACCTTTGCAAAGAAAAGATATCGATTCAAATTTGATATACAAGAGAAAACAAAATTGCTGATACTTGGGGCATGTTAGACTCCAGATAATTCAGAAACATTTAAAACTTTATGCTAACATTCAGAACATTTCCTAATATTTATTCCTCATAAAATGTCTAAACAGATTCTGTTACAATATTTATCATCCATTAACTTGATACTTATCAGTTTCCAAACAAAATAATATAAGACAGAGTTAAGCATTACTGATAAACTTCCATAATAATAATTAATCTACTTACAGAAGTTGATTCTTGAGGTTTTGGTACTCCAAGAAGTTCATATGCATAGAGTTTTTCTTCTAACGTTCGTTCATAGGATATACTTATAGGCACAAATGCTAGGTCTGGTAGCCTTCCACGTAACCAACTTTCTGTCACACAGCCAAGAAGACCTGACCAGATATAAATCATACTATCAAGTTTATTTTCAAGTCAAAAGTCGAGGCATCTCAAACAATAACAGGATCAATGAAAAATTACAAATATTTTATCATTACAGAATTAACATTCACATTTCGGTGACATGAATACGAGTTGTCCACTACTATTTACTTCACATTCCAAAGATGCAAATTTTGTCATCTGTTATTAATTTTTGCAAACATCCCTTCCTTAATCCTTGTTTTGTATCATTTCACTATGGATTAGCAGGATGTTTGTTGTACCACACAACAATCGCTGTACTATTACTAGACACAAAGTGGCGCCTGCAACTCTGGGTTATATCATTCTTGGTCCAAGCCGGATTTGTGTGTAATATGCTCCTTTAGGCAATTTTTCATAAAATTGTCTTGATTTTTCTTACAGGAGGTGATACAATAAATGTTTATGCATAATTAGAAACAAATATTATATTATGGTTTTGAGTACAGTAACATTAAATTAATTATGCACAAAAAATAAAACTAATTTATTTGTTCACTTTTCTTTTTGTAGCACAGGGTGGCCTTGATAACACAGAGGCAGCAAAATGCATTTATAGTATGATTTCATTCTGATAGTTTCCATTAACCATAAACCAGCTCTGAAGTCCCGAATGCCCATGGCTTATGGCGGTCTCAGCGTGAGACCAGCGATTCATCCCAAAGTACAGTGCAACATAAATCATTGATAAGCAGTTGCATCTAAATCTTCATGCTTAAAAGGTTTCAACATTTGTATTTCACTTTCCACCACTGCTCTTTATTTTATTCATGAACTATATGATCTACTTCCTTTACTTATTAATGTCAGAAAGAACACTAGCATTAATGCATACCCCTCTGCCACTAGTTTCTACCTCAAATCATGATCACATTTTTCTAATAACTCTGCCTTATTATCCATGGTTAGAAAATTCCTTACCAATTAAAATGCTTGAATAATGAAAGGTCAGATTCTCCAACTCCAATTTTAATGAAAATTCTATTCTTTCTGTTTATTGTGTGAAAATTACTGTGTTGTTCTGTTGCAATTTTTGCCGTTCCAATCACCACATAAAAATTGTCATTATATTGTATTCCTATTTCTCTACTTCAATCAGTATTGTTTTTTATCGTAATTTTTTTTCCCATATTATGCCTGAAATCACACTGCATATTAGTGTTAATTTCTATGCAGACACGTTACTTACCAATTTTAGGAGGCAATGACTTTCCACTTCGACTTCGTGTTCCTTCTAAGAAAAATTCTACAGGAGAGCCAGTGCATTCTACAATAGTCTGGACATATTCCTATAAATATAAAACAAGTAAGTGGTATAATATTAGTACTGTGCATTTTATAAACTGAGGCAATTTTGCATTTGCATCAATAACAGTAAATGAGAACCCTAGGTTTCAGAATACAGAAAAATTATAGATTTAATCTATAAAATTATAGATTTACTCCTTGTTTCATAAAAATAAACCTAAATAAGAAAACTGCAACATTTCTTGCCAATATTTATCATTAATAAAAAAAGAGGAGTACTGTATTGTATCTTTAAACCTAACTCTGATAAATGGCTTCCTGGCCTTAAATTCTGGTGTTCTGCATGGTTTCTGATAATGTTCTATGCTCTTCAACACCTGCCACCTGGTATAGTTCAAACATATGTGTAATGTCAGAGCTGCATTAGAACATGTTTAATCGTATGGAAACTAAGTGAGATCACAATTGAGAGATTTTAGTTAATCAGCATAGTGCCTTGTTCCAAGATTTTAAACAAGATATTACCAAAATAACACCAATAACAAAATTATAAAAATTCCTAGATATCATTCAGAATTCCAATAAAGGGGCAGAATGACCTAGAACGAGTAATGTCAAAGAAATCAGATTCACTGAGGATTTTATCAAGGGACAAATGCCTCAAACATACAATGCAAAAACAAAATATCTTATCAACCTGATAATTGGGACATTCTACAAGGAAGTGGATGATTGTTAGTGAGACAATGCAGTTCTAACAGCAAGGTACAGGGCACTGTGAACCAGTAAATGTGTGACATTCATTACTCATTATTTATTGTTTGTGTGACATTCTCTCACCAGCATTAGAGGCAGGTATTACACAACACTCCACTCTACACCTGCTGTACTCTTCATAACATATATAAAATCCAGTTTTTAATACAACAATATACATCAACTTACCTGAAATATTGCCCAGTAAAGAGTATTATCCATAAATGACCGACGAATATAAAAAGCCCCGGAGCCCCTCAACTTCTCTCCAACTACAGCCATCTTCATAAAATCTGAAATGTATAGGATGAACCATAAGTGCATATAATAGTGTAAAAATAGAGATGATTCATCACAAATTTTTCATGTTATTTAAGAGAATTGTATTAAGAATTAAAAAATTACCCATGAAACACTTATTTTGTGACTTAATAGCAATAGAAATATAACCATGTATGTACTTCAGTTTTCTTTGTTCTTATGTAACAAACCTGGACCAAATCTCCTTGGAGAGGCTCTGTCCAAGTCAAACTAGACAACAGACAAAACCTGGCATAACAAAAGGAGCTGGCAAAAAGTCAATATGCTGCCTCATACTTTTACTTATCGGACACGCAAACGTGCAAAAACAAAAGTTCTGCCCCCCCCCCCCTGCCTTCCACACAGATAATGGTACAGTACAAGAGTTAAAAACTCTAAATGTAAAGCACTTAGAAGAACCAAGGAGATTATCCCTCCGGAGGTTATTCCTCCGACCTTCAGGGAGAGGCAGAGTCTGGAGGAGGACACCATAGGAAGGCAATAAGGAAACAGTGCTGGGAACTATGGCTACAATGATCACATAAAAGCCAACAACATATCTGAGCCTGCAGCACACTATAATATGAAAAAAATGGGAAGGAGAACCTGAATAAAAACAGGGAACCACACCCTCGTATCAAGAGAGTTCCAATCAAACCAGAATACCACCTGGGAGATAACCACTCCAGTCTAGGAGCCTAGAAAGAAAAAAAGAAAAATTATGAAGGGGAGCAGAACAACCCATCTATATAAAGGAACAGATACATCAATGGGAAGGCAGGAAAGCCCAAAACTTAAAAAAAAAAATGCTTGGCCAACACAGGAAGCAGGACATTTTAAAATTTGTAGCACAGCATCAAATTGTAAGAAGAGTTTATTTGATGTTCTGATATCACACTAGCAGCATGGGAGATGGGGAAGGTTGGTGAGAGTGGAGATGGGTATGGTGTGTGTGGGGGGGGGGGGAGATGGGGTAGGCTGTGTGTGAGGGGGAGAGATGGGTAGGCTGTGTGTGGGGGGGAGAGAGATGGGGAAGATGTGAGAGTGGGTGGAAATGGGGTGGGTGTGTGAGTGGGTGGAGATGGGGAGGACTATGTAGAGGGGGAAATTGGTGAGGGGGTGTATTTACTTAAGTGTAGTTACAGGATGAGAGCTATGCTCATGGTGTCTCGTCTTCCCAGTACCCTTTGGCATAAGATGCTTTGAAACTGCTGATGGCTTTGGTCTAATTCCAGTCAATCAATTTAGACACGACTAATACTTACCCATACCTGCAGCAATCACTGGCAAGGGAAGGTCAAAATGGAATGCAATGTATGACACAAGAAGGAAGTCTGCATAGGAGCGATGTGTTGGCAGCAGTACAACAGGCGTCTCAACTAGGGCACTACGCATCTGGCAGGGATCAAAATTACTTTCATTGGAGGCTTAAATTTTAAATAATTTACTAAGCAATTACAGTACAACTCATGCTATTCATAAAATTACCCACCATTTATGCATGACATACACCCCTCTTAATACAGTACTGATCTCTAGTTTATTTTGAGGAAAGTTAATGGCACATTAATCATTGTAAAGGAAGCAAAATGATTTGCCTTTGTTACACATTAATACAACTTGAAGAATATTATACCATGAGTTTCCTTCCCTGTTAATTCTACTTTGATCCTTGCATAAACTTCGTGGACAACCAGAAGTTAGAAACTAACACAAGGTGCACTGTTAACATCAGCCTCTTGCTAGGTGTGCCATTCTCAAAAACATCACTTCGTCAGCAATTAAGTCCAAGGCTGACTTGCATTTGGAACATGTTCATCAACACATAGATACTTGTGAAATCATGCCAGCTGACCATATGAAGGTTTTGGCACACAGTTGGCTCCAGCTTCTTCCTATTACTAACATGACTAACTTAGCATTAAATAACAATTGTCACTAATGAACACTAACACAATTCTAATGACCATAGTATTAGTTTAAAAGAAAAAGGGAGAGAAAGATTTGAAGATAAACAATTGTTTAAATTTAAATGAAATTTTTAATTTCTTCATATTGTTTCAAACTTGTTTTTTTTCATTACGTTGTATATACTATTGCATATAACATCATAATCATAAATGGTTTCCAAGTTATATATACTATATTAGTGGTTTCCTAGCATTTACTAGTAGTTTATGCCTTTGGTCTTGTGTTGACTATAAAATAGAGCAGCCTCATATGGGCCAATAGGCCTTCTGGAGTTTTCTTTTTTCTTGCGTTCATATTTTCTTACCTTAAAACTACATTTTCAGCAGATTCAGATAGCGTTACAACAAAAACATTCCAAGTGGCAACTTGAAGTTTGTGAAATATTATAGCACACACCTTATGACATATGAACCTTCAAGTACAAATATTACCTTTTCAATTCCATCCTCGTTGATAAGCACCTTGTTATATATTCTCTTCATGATTTTGGGGAGGATGAATGCAAATTGTCGAATAACACCAATGTCTTGAGTGTGTCCCATTTTTTCTAAGATCCCTTCAGCTTCAGCAACAAGGACATCATAATCACCTCCACCATCCACCAGCTGTGGTCAAGATAGGTAGTTCATCATGTAAATAAACTGTGAAAGCTAAGTATCTGCCATTAACACAGTACTGTATAAAATATTATACAGTACTGTATACTGTATTTTATAAACCTCTCCTAATCCTAGGCCTAATATACAGTATCTTAAGCCTAATATAGCACATATTTTTGCTATCTAGGCCTAGGAGTATTTAAGATTGGATTTTAGCTGTATTTTGTCTGGACTATAAAATTAAAGGTACAAAAAGTGAATAATTGGTGGTCCATCACTACATGGATGGTAGTGGTACCTAAGACCAAATAGATATGTTAAGTACTATCACTTCAAGAGGATGGGTTGTCCAGGAAGAGCTGGGTACGCAGCCCAGGAAGAGCTGTAGCAGAGAGCGAAGAGAGAATCCCAGGGTTTTAAAATACTCAAAATATAATGACATGTACACCAAACTGGCATCTTTTGCTGTGCCAGACAGCTCACCTGCTTGATGGTGTGCTTCACTCTATCAGACTGCATCACTCTCTTGAACACTTCTTCACGTTTCATCTCATTTCCATATTTGTAGTTACCCCTAGAGTACCATTCACGGGCTGCCCATCTGAGATCACTGGACTGCCTTCGCTGAGCCAGCAGATCAATATATTCTTGTCGCGATTGGCTTCGTTTCTGAGATGGCAGCCCTGGACTGGCTGGACTCATTGGATGCTCCATACTGCACTACACGCTGCTTGCTGAAAGGAAATATGGTAAGGAACTTTTATGAGCCTTAATTCTTTAACTATGTATATACAGGAATTGCACTCCTGTATGTATGTACGTACAATATACTGTTGTAAAATTTCAAAAACATAAGCAGATCTGCATGTCTAAAATATGCTAGTAGAAATTGTCAGCATAATTTATGATAAAGTTATCTTAAATTGTGGCACTTCTATCACATACTGAAATTTGTCCTTACTTAGGAGTCATCATACTCTCTAATTATATACAACGTACTGGAGTGAATGATATGGAAGAAAATGCAGAATAGAACCAGTGCAGGGGATGCCATAGGCACAATCAGAGAACACTATAAATATCAGAGGTCCACGGTTGTTCAACATCCTTCCAGCAAGTATAAGAAATATTGCCAGAACAACCATGGACATCTTTAAGAGAAAACTAGATAGTTTTCTCCAAGGAGTGCCGGACCAACCGGGCTGTGGTGGATACGTGGGCCTGAGGGCCGCTCCAAGCAACAGCCTGGTGAACAAAACTCTCACAAGTCAAGCCTGGCCTCGGGTCAGGCTTGGGGAGTAAAACTACTCCCAGAACCCCATCAAGCAGGTATACAGTACATCATTTCTTCATATTGTTTCAAGTTTCCTGAATGTAATCTAATGTCATCTAAAATGTACTCCATAAACCAAACTTAACCTAATAACTAAGAAAAATACACCATGACCTAAAGAATAGCTCCTTTCTGACCATATTATTCTGCTACCTTCAGAGGGATTGACTTTCAAGCCTTAACAGGGAAGATGACCCTGAAAGGTAAGGGTAATGACAGTGACAGCTAGAGAAGGAAACACTAGCCACAAGCAGTCAAGATGAACAAGACTTGTGGTTTACACAACAGTGAAGTATGTGTGTATTGTGTATACATAGATACACAAATACTCATGAAGCAGAAAAAGGGAACAAAGATTCCTGCAAGTCCAAAAAGGAAGCCACCGCAGCTTAAACGAAGGAAGTGAAGGCAGGGCACTAGGTGCAGGTTGGGCAAATGAAGGAGCTGTTGTCACAACAACAACAGGTGCATGAACACCTGGGCTGCCATCTGGTATGGGCAATATAACTAACTACTAGTTGAGTCTGGACGACATGTGCTTACATAGTTTGTGTCAGGGTTACCAATGTTTCTATGCTCTACCTTTGGTGGTTTTTCTTTTTTGTCCTGGTTGATCTAATATTTCCAGATTACTTTGCCTCTATAAACACATATATAAACTTTCCTGTGACCCCAGCCAATATTTGTACCAGGCATCATTATAATCCAGGTTGTTGAATAAGGTTGCCTGATTTCAAAATTCAGCCCCGAAGGCAGCAAATGCAACACATTTTCTGGCAATCGCCAGGTAGAGCAGAAGCCAGCCATCTGCAGTGCCAGGGTTCACAGGAGGGTGGACAACTTGACTAGAAATCACAAGTGAGAGCAACTACTGGAGGGACCCGATACCTGATGCACACATGAGAACCTTATATGCTTTGGAATCACGGCACAGTGTAAATCTTATTTCTTTCCATACTGCTTATTCTAATTTCACCATGACACCTGAAGTAGATTAATTATTGCTTTTGTTTAGAGCAATAATTTTCACTACTTTGAATTAATAATAGTAATTAAACTCATTTTGTTGGGGACAGGCAGTCTGTGTGTATGGTAGGATTATATTGAGTTTTTCCCAAAATCGAACTACTGACCCTCCCCAGGATGCAACCTGACAACAGCTGACTAACTTTTGGGTACCTATTTACTACTAGGCGAACAGAGGCGAAAGGCAAACATGCCAAACCATTTCTGTCCCATCTGGAACTGGAACCTGGGACTCCCAATTTGTAAGTTCAGAACAAACCCAACTGTAACTGTTTCACAAATATACCATTTGTTACTAATATTTTCCATTATCTTAACTCCTGAAATATGAACATGTAACCAATTTATGTTTTTTGTATTGCTTTGAGAATAAGTTTTTTTTGTGTTTGTTCAATGCCAACACACTGAAGTCTTGTGAGAGGGAAATCATCATGAGCAAGAGCAAATCCTTTATAATAATAATTTTTATTTATACAAAATACATTTAAAACGCTACAGTGGAGTATACACAGCTACACAATGTATGTTATATAATGAAACAAATATGAACAGCTTTTTGTGCATAACTTAAAGTACTGTTATTAAGTATTTTTATTTATAAGTTTAAATTTAAGTGATATTTAACGATGATAATCACAGACTACTTGAACAAAGATGCGGTACTTTAAGCAACAGTACAGATGCAACAATTAATGTTCACAATAACAGTACCACACAGGTTGACAGGTAGAAATGCCATGCAAATTACGGGTGGTAAAGGGGAAGAACGGCAATAGAGAAATATTGAGAAATATATGAGATATTGAGAAATATATGACCGAGAACCCCACCAGTTCAGTGCTGAGACTGTCGGCGTCTGTCGTCTGCTCTTGACATTTACGGGCAACTTTCCTTACTTTAAGCCACGTGCAGTTAGAGTGAAGGTTTCCTCCCGCCAGACGATGACCGCACGAGTGGTTATGTCTCGGGAGGTGTCACGGTGGCCCGGCACTGGTGACATTTAGGGTGACAGGAGCCCGTGGTGTGGTAATTATCAGTGGTGTGAGCGGGCTGGCCACAGGGTTGCCAGCTCCAAATTGCGGAAAGTAGCGAGCTGACGGTCGAAAAGTAGCGAAATTGTAATACGAGTAGCCCAAATTTTTTTTTAGTGACTGATACGGATTTCAAAGTAATATATTTTGATATATAGAGTACACTACACGATGTTAATTGTTTTATTATTATTGTTTCTGCACACACACACACACACTATATATATATATATATATATATATATATATATATATATATATATATATATATATATATATATATATATATATATATATATATATATATATATATATATATATATATATATATGTGTGTGTGTGTGTGTGTCCAACCAAACTCCATTCCCAGCTCTACCAAACAAACCCTTTTTAGCCCTCCCTATAACAACTGCCCTTTAACAACTCTTTGCCTTTAACAGCTAACTTTGGAGCCAAAACAAACAAACAATTCAGCCCTATACAAATAAGGAATCCTGGAACTCTTGCAAAAATACAACAATGAAACCCTTGAAAATACACATGCACTCACCCATAGCAAAGAAACAACCATAATGCTCTAGCAAAGAAACATGAGGCAAAGACACACAACCCCTGGAGCACAACCATGCATGAAGCGAAGCCCGACTATACATAACCCGAAGCCCAAGTGACACCCCCGGAGCCCGACCATTTAAGTAACCGGAGCCCGACCAGTTAAGTAACCGGAGCCCGACCAGTTATTTAACCGGAACCCGACCAGTTGTGTAACCAAAGCCCGATCAGTTGTGTAACCGGACCCCGACCAGTTGTGTAACCGCAAGCCTAGCATTTATACATATCATCTAACCCCCACCAAGCTAAACAAACAGCCCCAGAGTCCAACCAAACTCCATTCCCAGCTCTGCCAAACAAACCCTTCTTTAGCCCTCCCTAACAACTCTTTGCCTTTAAAAACTAACTTTGGAGCCAAAGCAAACAAACAATTGAGCCCTATACAAAAAAAATATCCTGGAACTCTTGCAAAAATACAACAATGACACCCTTGAAAATACACATGCACAAAGCCATAGCAAAAAAACAACCATAATGCTCTAGCAAAGAAACATGAGGCAAAGACACACAACCCCTGGAGCACAACCATGCACGAACCGAAGCCCGACTATGCACAACCCGAAACCCAAGTGACACCCCCGGAGCCCGACCAGTTAAGTAACCGGAGCCCGACCAGTTATTTAACCGGAACCCGACCAGTTATTTAACCAAAGCCCGATCAGTTGTGTAACCGGACCCCGACCAGTTGTGTAACCGCAAGCCTAGCATTTATACATATCATCTAACCCCCACCAAGCTAAACAAACAGCCCCAGAGTCCAACCAAACTCCATTCCCAGCTCTACCAAACAAACCCTTCTTTAGCCCTCCCTAACAACTGCCCTTTAACAACTCTTTGCCTTTAAAAACTAACTTTGGAGCCAAAGCAAACAAACAATTGAGCCCTATACAAAAAAATAACCTGGAACTCTTGCAAAAATACAACAATGATACCCTTGAAAATACACATGCACTCAGCCATAGCAAAGAAACAACCATAATGCTCTAGCAAAGAAACATGAGGCAAAGACACACAACCCCTGGAGCACAACCATGCACGAACCGAAGCCCGACTATACACAACCCGAAGCCCAAGTGACACCCCCGGAGCCCGACCAGTTAAGTAACCGGAGCCCGACCAGTTAATTAAGTAACCGGAGCCCGACCAGTTATTTAACCGGAGCCCGACCAGTTGTGTAACCAAAGCCCGATCAGTTGTGTAACCGGACCCCGACCAGTTGTGTAACCGCAAGCCTAGCATTTATACATATCATCTAACCCCCACCAAGCTAAACAAACAGCCCCAGAGTCCAACCAAACTCCATTCCCAGCTCTACCAAACAAACCCTTCTTTAGCCTTCCCTAACAACTGCCCTTTAACAACTCTTTGCCTTTAAAAACTAACTTTGGAGCCAAAGCAAACAAACAATTGAGCCCTATACAAAAAAATAACCTGGAACTCTTGCAAAAATACAACAATGATACCCTTGAAAATACACATGCACTCAGCCATAGCAAAGAAACAACCATAATGCTCTAGCAAAGAAACATGAGGCAAAGACACACAACCCCTGGAGCACAACCATGGACGAACCAAAGCCCGACTATGCACAACCCAAAGCCCAAGTGACACCCCCGGAGCCCGACCAGTTAAGTAACCGGAGCCCGACCAGTTAATTAAGTAACCGGAGCCCGACCAGTTATTTAACCGGAGCCCGACCAGTTGTGTAACCAAAGCCCGATCAGTTGTGTAACCGGACCCCGACCAGTTGTGTAACCGCAAGCCTAGCATTTATACATATCATCTAACCCCCACCTAGCTAAACAAACAGCCCCAGAGTCCAACCAAACTCCATTCCCAGCTCTACCAAACAAACCCTTCTTTAGCCCTCCCTAACAACTGCCCTTTAACAACTCTTTGCCTTTAAAAACTAACTTTGGAGCCAAAGCAAACAAACAATTGAGCCCTATACAAAAAAATAACCTGGAACTCTTGCAAAAATACAACAATGATACCTTTGAAAATACACATGCACTCAGCCATAGCAAAGAAACAACCATAATGCTCAAGCAAAGAAACATGAGGCAAAGACACACAACCCCTGGAGCACAACCATGCACGAACCGAAGCCCGACTATGCACAACCCGAAGCCCAAGTGACACCCCCGGAGCCCGACCAGTTAAGTAACCGGAGCCCGACCAGTTAATTAAGTAACCGGAGCCCGACCAGTTATTTAACCGGAGCCCGACCAGTTGTGTAACCAAAGCCCGATCAGTTGTGTAACCGGACCCCGACCAGTTGTGTAACCGCAAGCCTAGCATTTATACATATCATCTAACCCCCACCAAGCTAAACAAACAGCCCCAGAGTCCAACCAAACTCCATTCCCAGCTCTACCAAACAAACCCTTCTTTAGCCCTCCCTAACAACTGCCCTTTAACAACTCTTTGCCTTTAAAAACTAACTTTGGAGCCAAAGCAAACAAACAATTGAGCTCTATACAAAAAAATAACCTGGAACTCTTGCAAAAATACAACAATGATACCCTTGAAAATACACATGCACTCAGCCATAGCAAAGAAACAACCATAATGCTCTAGCAAAGAAACATGAGGCAAAGACACACAACCCCTGGAGCACAACCATGGACGAACCAAAGCCCGACTATACACAACCCAAAGCCCAAGTGACACCCCCGGAGCCCGACCAGTTAAGTAACCGGAGCCCGACCAGTTAAGTAACCGGAGCCCAACCAGTTATTTAACCGGAGCCCGACCAGTTGTGTAACCAAAGCCCGATCAGTTGTGTAACCGGACCCCGACCAGTTGTGTAACCGCAAGCATAGCATTTATACATATCATCTAACCCCCACCAAGCTAAACAAACAGCCCCAGAGTCCAACCAAACTCCATTCCCAGCTCTACCAAACAAAAATCTCCTTAGCCCTACCTAAAACCTTCCACTTGCCCTAGAAACCAACTATGGAGCCATAGCAAAAAGAAAATGTGCTATGTACGTAGAAAGAAACCTGGATTTCTAGCAAACATAACCATAGAGCCCTAACAAACAAACCTGGAGCACTAGTACTCAAACAACCCCTGGAGCACAACCATGCACAATCCAAATCCCAAAAAGTCACACCCCCAGAGTTATGTAACTGGAACCCGAGCCAGTTATGTAACCGAAGCCCGACCCGTTGTGAAACCAAAGCCCGACCCGTTGTGTAACCGGAGTCCCACCCGTTGTGTAACCGGAGCCCCACCAGTTGTATAACCGGAGCCACGCCAGTTGTGTAACCGGAGTACCTTTACCCGCAAGGAAAAGAAAGTAGACCTTCAATTGTATAAGTTTCTGGTGCGCCCCCACATGAATTATTGCATCCAGGCATGGATACCTCATGGTCAGAAAGACATAGCTGCTCTGGAGCCATGTCTTACCAGAGCTATGGAGCCATGTCTTACGACAAAAATCATACCAGAGCTTAGTCATCTCTCGTATAAGGAACGGTTGAGGGCCACAGGGCTAACAACACCACAAACCAGGCATGACAGGGCGGACTTCATTGAAACCTTTAAAATACTAAACAATTTGTAGGATGTCAATCAGGACAATGTCTTCAAAAGGTCAGATGTTACACGAACAAGAAGCAACGAGTTCAAACTCAACAAGCCAGAATGTTGGGCAGGAAACAGGACATGCTTTTTCACCCATAGGGTTGTAAACCCTTGGAACCGCCTACCCGCCATAGCCGTAAACGCCAAAACTCTGCTGGGTTTTAAAATACAGCTGGAAAACATCATGAAAGCAAATAGGGGGACCTTTGACAAGCCGCCGGCTTACTGTCCTCATCGAAGCCACTAGTGTTAGTGGCCCTCAGGTAAATTCAGTTCCTGGAAGGGTGTCCCCGCTCCTCTCCGTTGGGAAGTTATTTACCTATTGCAGTGTACACAGGACTGTCGCTTGTCACTAAACTTAGTTTTTAAACTATTAACTTGATAAAATAATATTACTTTATACGCGAGAATAATTCTGAATACGCAGTCCGTAGGCGAGCCTGGCCTGAGGACAGGCAACTGTAAATGCTTCACTCTCAACATACTTCAAGTGCAAATAATTGCCAACAGAACCCAAATACCGAACCTATTGTACGCTTAATTAAACATAGAATATAAAATTAATTTATACTCGATAAAAACTATTTTAATACACAGTACATGAAAGTCGATAATAAATGCGTCTTGGGAGGTGGGGGAGGGGAGGTCGTCGACCGCCGCGTTAACGAGCCTAGCCTGACGACAGGGTGGTTTAACACTATGGGGAAGTGTATTCTACATAATATCCTACCCATATAATGTTGGCAAATAATGATCCTCAAAATCTTCCACAATATCCGAGAGAGGACAGACTATTTAGCATTAGTGGAATACAAACATTTGAATACAACAGAACCCGGAAGAAAAAAAGCAATATGGAAACAATGACTCTCGGAGATATTACAAAAACTCAATGTTATAAATAGTGAACAAATGTATAATGCATTAAGCATTGTAGGTGGAGGTAGACTATATATTCATGCTACCTCCCAACTACTCAGATGGCAAAAAAAAAAAAAAATGATCAGCCTACCTACACAGGAGCGACAATGCTCACGCCGCCGCTGCTTCCTGACGACTGACGGCGCCATGACCGTAAACGACCAACCGACCCAGGGACCCTCTGCCTAAAACTATTTGAACGCCATATTGAAATTCCTAGTGTATAGCGCCAGGAATGTGTAAATTAATATTTATATGCATTATACGTCTTTCTAAAGTAATTTATAGATCTGAATATCATATATTGTCTAACAAACGAATTATTTAAGTTAATATTTTAATCATGCCAGATACGAGTCTCATCACACACAAAAAGATTCGTCGGATTTATTTTTTATTTTTTTTATTTATATATAAAATTTATATATAAAAAGAGTTCTTAAATTCTTGTAAAGCCACTAACATGCATAGCGTTTCGGGCAGGTCATTAATCCTAATTTTTTTCCCGGAATACGACCCGCCAAATAGGCCAAACAACCTATTCTCTGCTTGGTGAACAGTTAAGGATCGTCGCCCGGTCAATCCATCCCGGCCGGCAGGTCAAAGCGCTGGCGAAGAGCCGGGCGCGCTTTAAAGCACTACGCCACAGAGACTGCTCCGTGGCGTAGTGGAATTTTGAATTTTGAAACGTGACTAACTTAGCTCAACCCAACCTAACGTAACTCAAATCAAACCAATCTAATCCAACGAAGCCCAATGCAGCCTAACCTTAATAACATAACCTAATACAGCCTAGCATAACAATACATCCAGTTTTAAAACAGAAAAGGAGTTTGTAGCGAGTAATCCTTAGACTCGCTACAAACGAGTATACTGTTGAATCGGCTCTAATACACAATGTACACAACATGAACTTGAGTCCTGGCTTTGTTGGTGTGGACTCTTCCCTTTCACGGTATATACTCAAATGCTCTAATCTTTCTAACAAACGTGACCTAACATAAGCCTACCCCTTCCATTTATCTTTCTTTCTCTTTCCTTTTCTTTCTCTCTTCTCCCTTTTTCTGTTCATTGTCTTCTCCTACGCTCCCTTGCTATCCTCTTCTTATTCCTATCTCCTTCTCATTCGGTGGTTATAATAGGAGCTGCCTCGTATGGGCCAATAGGCCCTCTGCAGCTCTTATTATTATTACTATCCCCTCTACTACACCTTACTTTACTCCTCAGCTCTCTCTTGCCAATTTATTGCCTGTCTCTACTTACTCACCACATGGGAGACATCTCCCGTCACGCAGGGTGCAGTCGCACCTCCACAGATCTCCAGTATCATCTATTGATACTGGAAATGGCTCAAAAGGGCCACCACTTATGGGCTATTCATGCCCAAGCCACCTTTTGGGTGGCTTAATCTTCTCTCTCTCTCTCTCTCTCTCTTCCTCACCACGCACCGCTCCTGTGCCAGGTAAGTCCACTACGGGCTCACCATAACCCGTGCTACTTGCCCCGCTCCTGTGCCAGGTAAGCTACGGGTTCACCATAGCCCATGCTACTTGGAACTTGTTCTGAGTAGCTGAATCTATAACAACATTCCTCATCACGACGGGAGACATCTCCCGTCACGCAGGGTGCAGTCGCACCTCCACAGATCTCCAGTATCATCTATTGATACTGGTAATGGCTCAAAAGGGCCACCACTTACGGGCTTTTCATGCCCGTGTCACCTTTTGGGTGGCTTAATCTTCATCAATCTTCCTCATCACAATCGACTTGAGAATGGTCCAGGACGGACCGAAACTTCGTCGTCCCTTCACCTTCTAGTGTGTGGTCTGGTCAACATACTTTAGCCACGTTATTGTGACTCATCGCCTGCTTATACTCGCTCTATTATCTCATTATCTTAATGGCCGCCCCTCCCATTCGTTTTTGGGGATTTTATCGAGCAATGTTTAGGCATTTACGGCTTCAGCGGGTATGCGTTTCCACAACGTTATAATTCTATGGGTGAAAACAAATATTTTCCATCCTTCAGTGTGGCTTGTTGAGCTTGAAACCGTTGCTCCTTGTTCGTCTTACATCTAGCCTTTTGAAGAAGTGTTCTGGGTCAATATCTTCCAAATTGTTCAGTAATTTAAAAGTTTTGCTGAGAGCATCCGTGTCATGTCTGGTCCCTGTGGCCCTCAACCGTTCCTGGTATGAAAGTTGACTTGCACTACATAACTCTTAAAGTCGACTTAGTTCGGAAAAGATTTTAGTCGCCCGGTGTTGAACTTTCTCCAAAGCAGATATGTCTTTCTGAAGATATAATAATCCAAGTGGAAGCACACCAGAGATTTATACAGTTGTATAACTACCTTTTCCTTCGTCAAAATTTCGTTTGACTATTCCTAGGATTTGGTTTGCTTTTATAACTGCAGCTTCCACTTGCTGTACAACTATCAATGATTGGTGGATTCTGACTCCAAGATAATGTTGATGATTTTGTAGTTGTGCATTGATATGCCCCACATGAGTGAAAAAAAAACATCTGTTTTCTGTCCTAAGTTGTGGCTTGTTGAACCTGAAATCGTTGTTCCTTGTTTGTGATTGATTGATGAAGATTAAGTCACCAATGAGGTGGCACGGGCATAAACAGCCCGTGACCTTGTTTGTGTTGTTGTTTTAGATTCAGCTACACTGAACAAAAAGTTCCAAGCAGCACGAGCTATTGTGAGCCCGTAGTGGACTCGGCACAGGAGCGAGGCTGTAACTGCTTATTTGTGATTAATTGATGAAGATTAAGCCACCCAAGAGGTGGCACGGGCATGAGTAGCCAGTAAGTGGAAGATTTTTTTGGGAGTGAATGTGATCTTTACCCGTGAAAGGATATTCTGCATGCTGTGTTCGCATTTAAATGCGAGCACAGTTTAATTTTAATTTAAATCGTCAGTCTGTGGCTGCTATCGCGGGGTGTTTGTTTGTGTTGCATCTGACCATAAAAATCATCATTGAGTTTCTTAACATTAATAGCCCAAATTAGCACATCTTGCTTTTAAATTAGCCCAAAAAGTAGCAAGTAGGGAAATTAAAAATTTGGGAGCGCGGGACTCTCAAAAGTAGCCCAATTCGCTACTTGTAGCCCAATCTGGCAACCCTGGCTGGATGTTATGGTGTGATAGCGTCGGATACTCGCTTCCGCTGGCGACATACACACGTTTTCTATGGTGGCTTGACAGCGTAATTTAAATCAAATCAAAATAAAAAATCAAAATGTTTATTCAAGTAAAAGTAAATACACAAGAACAAGGTACCTGCAGAAGGCCTATTGGCCCATACGAGGCAGCTCCTATTTATAACCTCCCAATCCCATTCATATACATGTCCAAACCCACATTTGAAACAATCGAGGGACCCCACTTCCACCACGTTATAGATAGATTATACATAGATTATTATACATAGAAGATGAGCTATTTATATAATGTTGGATTTATAGATAGAGCTAGTACATACAATCCCTAAAGCTACTAATACGCACAGCATTTCGGGCAATATGGTTTGTCTTGACATAAACGGGATTTATTTTATGTGTAGTGAGAGGTTACTGTCGTCTAATATGTGCTCCATGTTGAAGGGAACGTTGAGAATGATGAATTATTGTTTGAAATTGATTCTGACACTGTAATGTATGAAGTACTGGAGGAAATAATGGTTTCTTTTAGTTAGCCCAAAGACCAACTACTGACTTTTCTCAAGATGACCCCACGGCAGTTGTCTAGCTTTCGGGTACCTACAGTATTAACTGATAGTTGACACAGAGTCATCATGCGAAAGGAAACGTTGCCTAAACGCTTCTGTACTACCGTAAAAAAAATTATCCCGGACCTTACGGCTGTGGCTCAGCTGAACTTACCACTGCGCCGCAGTAATTTTCATATATATATGCAACTTAGCAGTGGCTGCAGTGTTCATTTATGTTTGTTCTAATTTTATAACTGTGTGCTACTGGTTTGGTATGTCCTAGTCTTAGTCTGGTCATTGCTGTATCTATTTCTAGACTCGTGTGCTTAGCAATGTGTTTAAAAAGTTTTCTGGGTCATTTTTATGGTTCCATAATATATCGAAGAGCATGATATATAAAAATGTTTTCCATTACACTGCGAAATTTTGATTGGTAATGGATTTAGGGCTTTAGCTATTAGTTAAGCATCAGTGCCTAGGATAATAATTATATATATAGGAAGGTGACCTCTTAGGTGACCTTGAAATGTCTTTTTAAAAGTTGTAAACATGTATTTTACCCTTAAGTTACTCAAAACTAAATTAATAGGTAATTAATTATATTTTATACTAGCACTAAATTCTATATAAATTTTATGATGGAATAAAAATAAGAGAGAAAGCGAGAATTTGAATTGTCAAATCATTATTGGAACACCATTGACAAGTTTCAATAGGAGCGGCAGACGTCGTCTGCTGAGTATCGCCGCCCGTGTCGCAGACGCTGCTGCTTCCCTGTCCTCAGCCTCCTGACACTTGAGCAGACACCATGTGTGACACACCAGTTGACACGGGTAACGCCGCCCTCGACCAGAGAGCTCAAGAGTGGCTGGAGTGGGACCAGGTGAGCAGACGGAGGTATTGGTGGCAGGAGCGGCTTCCAGGCTCAGGGTAATAATGGTCTTTTTCCGCGCCTCCTTCAGCGTCCTTGGTGACGGCTGCCCTCCCTCGGTGTTCTTGGTGACGGCTGCCCTCCCTCGGTGTTCTTGGTGACGGCTGCCCTCCCTCGGTGTTCTTGGTGACGGCTGCCCTCCTTCTCGGCGTCCTTGGTGACGGCTGCCCTCCTCGGCGTCCTTGGTGACGGCTGCCCTCCGTCTTGGCGTCCTTGGTGACGGCTGCCCTCCTTCTCTGCGTCCCTGGTGACGGCTGCCCTCCTTCTCTGCTTCCCTGGTGACGGCTGCCCTCCTTCTCTGCTTCCCTGGTGACGGCTGCCCTCCTTCTCTGCTTCCCTGGTGACGGCTGCCCTCCTTCTCTGCGTCCCTGGTGACGGCTGCCCTCCTTCTCTGCGTCCCTGGTGATGGCTGCCCTCCTTCTCTGCGTCCCTGGTGACGGCTGCCCTCCTTCTCTGCGTCCAAGTTGACGGCTGCCCTCCTTCTCTGCGTCCAAGTTGACGGCTGCCCTCCTTCTCTGCTTCCAAGTTGACGGCTGCCCTCGGCTGCCCTCCTTCTCTGCGTCCAAGTTGACGGCTGCCCTCCTTCTCTGCGTCCCTGGTGACGGCTGCCCTCCTTCTCTGCGTCCCTGGTGACGGCTGCCCTCCTTCTCTGCGTCCCTGGTGACGGCTGCCCTCCTTTGCGTCCCTGGTGACGGCTGCCCTCCTTCTCTGCGTCCCTGGTGACGGCTGCCCTCCTTCTCTGCGTCCCTGGTGACGGCTGCCCTCCTTCTCTGCGTCCCTGGTGACGGCTGCCCTCCTTCTCTGCGTCCCTGGTGACGGCTGCCCTCCTTCTCTGCGTCCCTGGTGACGGCTGCCCTCCTTCTCTGCGTCCCTGGTGACGGCTGCCCTCCTTCTCTGCGTCCCTGGTGACGGCTGCCCTCCTTCTCTGCGTCCCTGGTGACGGCTGCCCTCCTCTGCGCGTCTGGTGATGGCTGCCCTCCCTCGGTGTTCTTGGTGACGGCTTCCCTCCCTCGGTGTTCTTGGTGACGGCTGCCCTCCTTCTCTGCGTCCCTGGTGACGGCTGCCCTCCTTCTCTGCGTCCCTGGTGACGGCTGCCCTCCTTCTCTGCGTCCCTGGTGACGGCTGCCCTCCTCTGCGTCCCTGGTGACGGCTGCCCCCCCCTCCTCTGCGTCCCTGGTGACGGCTGCCCCCCCCTCCTCTGCGTCCCTGGTGACGGCTGCCCTCCTTCTCTGCGTCCCTGGTGACGGCTGCCCTCCTTCTCTGCGTCCCTGGTGACGGCTGCCCTCCTTCTCGGCGTCCCTGGTGACGGCTGCCCTCCTTCTCGGCGTCCCTGGTGACGGCTGCCCTCCTTCTCTGCGTCCCTGGTGACAGCTGCCCTCCTTCTCGGCGTCCCTGGTGACGGCTGCCCTCCTTCTCGGCGTCCCTGGTGACGGCTGCCCTCCTTCTCGGCGTCCCTGGTGACGGCTGCCCTCCTTCTCGGCGTCCCTGGTGACGGCTGCCCTCCTTCTCGGCGTCCCTGGTGACGGCTGCCCTCCTTCTCGGCGTCCCTGGTGACGGCTGCCCTCCTTCTCGGCGTCCCTGGTGATGGCTGCCCTCCTTCTCGGCGTCCCTGGTGACGGCTGCCCTCCTTCTCGGCGTCCCTGGTGACGGCTGCCCTCCTTCTCGGCGTCCCTGGTGACGGCTGCCCTCCTTCTCGGCGTCCCTGGTGACGGCTGCCCTCCTTCTCGGCATTGTCCTCTCTAAAAGAAGGAATTCCCTCTTAGACGGTGCAACAGTCAGAATAATCATAGCTTCCATTAAATTTACTGTCAAAATAAAATATTTAATTTACTTAAATGCTTAATTTTTTATCAATTACTAAATAAAAACACCTTAGGTTTACGAATTAGATAACCATTAATCAAACAAAAATTAATGTATATATGCAGAAATCAAAATTCTTTATTTACATACTGTATAAACAATCACTTGTGTGTACAACTCATAATCAACACAAAGTTGTGATAAACATAGGACTGGTAGTAATTATATATAGTAAGTACAATGAAAAGGATACAACTTTTCAGGCTCTGTCATTATAGGCTACTTTTGATCTTTTAAGTTAACAAGTCTGGAACTTGTTACCTTAAAAGGCAAGTCTTGAGGAGCTTAAGCTTATAAGGAGCTCGTGAGCTTACCTTACTAAGTCTTAAGGAACTTGTCTGGAGATCACAGAAGCTACCTCAATCTATAACTTTAAGGCCAGATATGATAATGAATTAGGACATCAGGGAAGTTCAAATAAAATGTAACGGGTACAATAAGGCTAGTAGGTAGGGCATAAGGAGCTAACTTCACATCCTCAGTCACTTATTTATAAGTATCATCTCCACCTATTTCCTTCACTACTGCCATGTACAGTGTTCGATAAAATAGAGGTCTAATAGAACACTGTTGTTTCTCCTGTCTATTTTTCTTAAAATTACTGTAGTATACAATTGAAGCATGTTTATAATTTAATACAATATATTATTCAGTAATACAATTTGCATGTACTGTACAGGATTATTAATTTTGACAATCGGTTGCATTAAGACTGTTCATAATACCAGTAAAGTAGTAGCCTTGCATGGGAGATACGGTAGCTCACTGTCGGCTACAGTCAAAACTGATATAGTTACTTTACTTTTTCAGTAGCTTATTAAGTGTTCCTACATAAAAATATTATACTATTTCTTCAGAATGATAAGACTCGTGAAGAAATTGTGGAGCTGATTTCAAATGGAGATGTTGCAGCACTGCAAAAACTGCTCCTGAATCGGCTTCTCTTTGGCACTGCAGGACTTCGGGGTCGCATGGGAGCTGGTTATGCACAAATGAATGATCTTGTGGTCATACAAACATCACAGGTAGGGCATATTGAAACTATAAGCATTTACTTGTGCAAAATAATGTTTTATTAACTTGGTAGTCTATAGGAGAAATAATTGTACTCGACATTTTATGACCATTACAATAATGGTCCTGGATGGATGCAAATATATAAGTAAGTTTTCAGAATTAATATGTTGGTTTTATGCTTAGTCAGTATGTAGCAGAGTATTTTATAATTTTTGTGAGTAAAGACTTGAAAAGGAATAAAAGTTAATAAATTAAATAAAGGTAAACTGTTGCCCCTTCACTTACCATGTACAAGTTTGAAGGGTGCTCATCATCTTTGCTACCAGATGGTCATTCTTTCTGCCTCTGCCATGCTGTCTGTTGGGTTGGTGACACCTACGACCTTAACCAGGGGTCCTGTGTGGTTTGTTGCTTCTGCGTCTCCACTTATTTACTTATTCCTTTAGTTAATCCCTTTTTGTTCCTGGTTAAGTTTCCCCAGTTATGTGATTGATCTGCTATTCTTCTTACCTCTTAAAACAGATCTTAGAGTGGCTTCCAGTAGGCAAGTCCAATCACTTGGGGTGGATGGTAGAGCAATGGTCTTGCTTTATGTAGGTTGGCGTTCAATCCTTGACCGTCCAAGTGGTTAGGCACCATTACTCCTCCCCCCCCATCCCCTTCCAATCCCAAATCCTTATCCTGACCCCTTCCAAGTGCTATATAATCATAATGGCTTGGTGCTTTTCTCTGGTAGTTCCTTCCTTCCTTCCCAGAAGGCAATGAATAGGTCTCAAGAGTTGGGCTAAAGCTTAGTGGTACCAAATTTTAAGGAGCCAATGGGGGCCCACTAGAAAATAATGTTTAATTATATTCAATGCTTTATACAGTATCATAATGTGATTATACTATAATACGGTAAAATTAGATACGTATTGTACATTCACTCATTGTAATTTATTATTTCAGGGTCTAGGCAGTTACCTCACAGCAGTTAACCCAGAAGCGAAGTCTATGGGGATTGTTATTGGGCATGACAGTCGCCATAACAGTCATCGGTAAGTTAAATGTAATTTTTAAGATTTGTACCCAATAAAAAAATCCCAAATGCTCAACTATAAACAACAAATCTCCTAACAGACATTGTCACCTAAAAATTTTATGCTGTAACTTCCATTGAAAATTGTTTATACTGTGAAGTCCTGTACAGTACTTCAAAATTTACCAATCTTTTTGAGGTTCCAGCATATTTGCTACTCCTAACACCCATACTGTTGCTTATCCTTTTCTGGCCTATGTATTGACACTTTTCATCCTAATTTTTATTTTCCATGCAAACTTTACCAAACACACATTTGAATATTATTTTAAGGTTGCAAGATCAAAAAGTGCCAAATCACCATAACCTGACCATCTCAGATTTACAAGAAATTTTTCAGGATGTTGGAGTACTGTATATGAAGTAACGTATGCACAATTTTAGCCCTCGGTGATGCATAATATTCATTCAGCATGGTTGTCAATATGATAGAACATTATATTTGCTTACAAACTCAAAATGACATAACATTGCTTCTAATTGGGACAGAAACTTCATATTGGGATTACAGAGGGCATGCAAGATCTTAATCAGTTTCTGTATACCTTATATTTTATTTATGATAGCTAATAATAGATTTGCACTCTAAATGCTATGTATGTCAGTACAGTATATTACACATTGGGAGTCAAGCCATTTAGTAATACAGTACTGTACTTAAAAACCGTTTGCTTTAGACATTACAGAGTTACAGAAGTATTGCTGCGTATGATATTAGGCTATTCCTACCATAAGTTTTGCAATAAACCTAAGAAAAATTTTGTTTATTGAAAATGTTGATAGCTATCTTGAGTAGATATCTTTGCTATCTTTATAGATATAGTATATAAAGATATACAGGTATATCTCTAAGATATATATAATAGCTATAGCTATATACTGTAATAATATATATTATTATACTATAGATGTACAGTATAGTTATCTAATAATAAATAATAAAATATTTATTATTATTATTATTATTTTGAGATCACAGACAGCTGCCAATATGTAGGCAAGATCTGATTAAATATATTTTTACTGCATTTATGTATATACAATTGCATAGATAATATATTTATAGGTTTGCAAGATTGGCTGCTGCAGCTTTTCTGAATGCAGGAGTACCTGTGTACCTCTACGGGAAAATTGTTCCTACTCCTTTTGTACCATTTGGTGTGAATCAGTTAGGAGCAGCTGCTGGGATCATGGTCACAGCCTCTCACAATCCTAAAGAAGATAATGGATATAAAGTCTATTGGGAAAATGGAGCACAAGTAAGTACACGCCTCTGAAGCTTGTGTCTCGGGTATTTCAGTACAGCATTCTGTGGGTAATATATTATTTGGTATACTGTGTATGCAGTGTTTTGTAGTGCTTAGCTATTCTAATTAGATTGCTCCTTAAGGTAAGATTTGCTGTGTTCTTCAAAGATGATGACAGGCAGGCAGGTGACATTGCCAGCATCAATACAACAGGGGCTTTCTCAAACAGTTCCTGCATGGTTACAAAAGGTATTAAGTAATCGGTGTAAATATGTTCAATCATGCCTGAAATGACCAGTAGATGGTACATTCTGTGTAAGCTCGAAGAGTTCCATGTATCCATTGGAATGAAATTAAATCTGTCCTGGTCACTGGCTAACATAGTACCCATAATCTGATCATCACAAATGAAGAAATAATCTGGGACATTACAATCTCAAATACACATACTGTACTCCCAAATTTGCACTGTAAAATAACATACTATAGTGAACAATATGTGAAAAAGTAATGAGCTTGCACTGATTTCGAGAGATTGTCATTTGTTTACATTGTTTTGGAAAGTTTGTTTGGCAGTTTTGAGGTTTTGGTCTCCTTGAACCCAGCAGTGGTCTACTGGTTTTGTAGCAAACCACATTACCTCTAATATGTGTCTGCCCACCATCAGGACTACTTCCTTCCTGACTTCACCAGCAACATACAGCAAGCATCCTCATCTCATTCTATCCCGACACCTCATCTGACTGCTATTACCTATATTAATCATCAAAATCACCATACTCTTTGAATGTATACCTTGCAGTTCACTAACTTTATGGATGATTTCCCAGTGGCATGGTAGTGTCTCCTGCTCTCTGCACCTCTGTGAGGGGGAAATGCAAGTTCTGGCTCTGATCTCCAGTAGGCCACACAGAACTCTGCAGCTGATGTGACCTTGTAGTAGACCAGAGCTTGTCCAAAAAGTGACATTTCATTACATTCACTGCTGGTTTTTAGTTAAATGTTATGGCATGGTTCCAATAGGGTCATTTTGTTTTGCGTCTTGGATTGATTCTTTTAAGGGTGTCCCCCCTTGGGTAACTGGATTTTCCCCTGCTCTTCTCCTGGTTAGACCTTTTTCTTTATGCTGTATGGAAATAAATGGAATATGCAGGTTAGCAAGTAAATTTGTTTGGTTGTTTCAGAATATTTGATGTTGATTCCTGCTCCAGCAGAGCCTAGTTGAACTTAATTTGTCTTTTCTAAATAAATTCATTTCCAGATTTTTTTTACTTTGAACATTGTCACTTATTTTGTTTTTTTATTTAAATAATTACAGATCATACCACCAAATGATAAAGGCATACAGAGAAACATTGAGGATAATCTTGAACCTTGGGAAAATGCATGGGACATAGAGAGAGCAATGGCAGATCCTAGACTGAGTGATCCCTTGGTGGATATTTCTAACAAGTACTTCACCATGTTGGCTGCCTCCATGCTTGACAAGCAAATGAACCAGGCATCACCACTCAACTTCACTGTCACCGCCATGCATGGAGTCTCTCATGATTACATGGTTGAGGCATTCAGATGCTGTAACTTTAAGGTAAATTTTTTTTAATATGTTTAATGTGTGTACAAATGTTGACAGCATAATTTTCTGGAGGCTTTGCTTTAGCAAATATTGAGGATCTTATTATTAAAACAAAAAATCTGTATTTGGGATGATTGACTAAAATTTATAATTTTCTCCAGCCACTAATTCCTGTAAAGGAACAAATGGTACCCGATCCAGAATTTCCAACTGTGAAATTTCCAAATCCTGAGGAAGGTAAGAGCGCACTAGACTTATCTTTCAAGACTGCTGATGGAAATAACTCTACAGTGATTTTGGCTAATGATCCAGATGCAGATAGACTTGCAGTAGCAGAGAAACAACCCAGGTTAGAAAAATATTTCTTGAGTGGATTTGCTTTATTAAGTCTCACACTGGATGATGACTATGCTTAATTAGTGTAAACTTTTGTAAGCAAATACAATTGGGTAATCAATGCAGAGCTGTTTCCTTGTTATGTGATCTAAGCTTATTTCTCTGCATTCCATTTTTTTGAGAAATGACTTGTGTTCTGTATCCCCTCATTTTATATTTTCCATCTTAGTTATTAAACCTTAATATAAGTTCTTGATGCTATTAAAATATACTGAATGTATTCCCTTAGCTACTTGGTTATATTGACTGTCATAATTCTTTATTAAATTTCTGTACTTGTTTTCTGAGCTGTGCAACTGGGATCCTTCTTTGGCAAGTGGTTCTTAAAGACATGGCAGGTAAATGTTCTCGATGACAGCTGAGGTTTTTGAAATGCTCCAGTCTGGTCATGCTGGTGCCACGGAGACGCTGGATAATCTTTAATTTGGTCGGAATTGATCTCTAGGAGGGTCACTCGGCTACGCTCACAGCCCTCCAAATGCTGCAGTACAGTACTGTGACATTAAAGAGACCACCAGAAGAGTACTCTCACTAATCAATAGTTGGTCTGCCTGGCTACTTCCAGATATTGGCACCAATATTCCAATAGAGCATTCCTGCCGCTGCCCATCTCACATTCTTAGACCATTACCAAGTGCACTTACCTGCAGACAGTTGCTGTGTATGTATAAGCACACTATAACTAGCCACTGCTCTAGCTGCCATTTCTCTTCTAATCTGGTTAGTGCCTCAGCAGTGGAATTTAGCTTCTTGAATTTTCCAACATTTCCACAGTTCCTTGGGACTGTAAAATCCCAAAGCCTCAAAATGTAGGCATTTACATAACCCACATGTATTACATATACAGTTGATTTTAGCATGTGTAATTACCCAAGTGTAATTACAGGATGAAAGCTACGTTTGTGGTGTCCTGTCTTCCCAACACTGTCATACTGTATAACGCTTTGAAACTACTGACGGTTTTGGCCTCCACCACCACCTCACTTAATTTGTTCCAACCATCTACCACTCTGTTTGTAAAAGAAAACTTTCTAATATTTTTTTGGCACCATTGTTTCCTTAGCTTGAATCTATAACCTCCTGTTATTGAGGTTGCCGGTTTCAGGAATTTCTGTCAATTTGGTTGATTCTTGTTATTATTTTGTAAGTGGTGATCATATTGCCACTATTTCTTCTTATAGACACTAAATATGCCAAAACTTTCTAGTTTTTTCATATTAATGCCTCTAGCTCCTCTTCATAAATCTTGTCTTCCAATTCTGGAAGCCATTTACTTGCATGTGTTGGCACCTTTTCCAGGCCTGCTTAAGATATGGGCATCATACAGTTGCTACATATTCCAGATTTGGTCTCACAAAGGTCATTAAAGAGAGAGAGAGATCCATTCTATTCACCCCTCAGTTCATGTTTAATCATGCAATTTATGGCTTCTTTTATGCATTTTTTTGTTTTGTTTTGGTTAAAGTGTATCTTGGTCCATTCTTGGTTTAGTTACCAGATTTAGGTTATGGTATGCTGAAAGTGTTTACAGTGTCTAGTGTGTACTGCAGTACAGAAAGGTTCCAAATCTAAGTATTGACTGTGTCCATTTATTTGCTTCCTTGTTATCTTAGCCATTGCATTATGAAATAGGATTATCAAAATTCTGCAAAATGCTGCTTTTACAGGTTGCCACATTATAATTTGTTTTATCCAAGTGGTTATGCTTATTGTCTTTGGAACTCCTCCCCAAGGTGCAGGATTACTTCTGCCACCGAGTGTGTATGAGCTGTCGGGTATTGGCTGTGATTCAGAGACTTCCCAAGCCTTGGCAGTTTGCTTATAAACCTGTTATTAACTTAAGGTTCTTGAGCTGAAGTTTCAGCTCTGGGAAGGGGGTTCCATGGTTTAGCTTCACAGCATGGTGACCAGTCTTTTGTGCGCATTTGACAAAGCTTCCTGTTTCGGCTTCATTCAGGGTTCTCTTACCTGGCAATGTTGAGGACCTGCAGCTCTTGTGTACTCTTCTGTGGTTGTTTGGGTTTAGCTTTCATCATGGTTCAGCTCTTGAATTTTACCACTACCCTGGTGGTTCATTTTGATCATTATCCTGGGCTGGGGGCTTGTTGCTGAGCTCCCTATTCACAGATGCATATTGTCTCGTGTATGATGCTGTAGCAGTTCTAGCCTCCCATATTTAACTTGAGAGTGTATATTTTTTTTAAACCCATTGCCACCTTCAGCATTACCCATCTTTTTGCACAGTGGGTTTTGATTAGTTTACAGAGAGTAATACAGTACATGCCTTTTGTGACTAGATCTGAGGTTGGTGGGCCTTGCTTCTCATTTGAATGGATTTTGTATTATGTGATCAGCCCAGAGTAACATTTGCAAACAATATTCCTTGCCAGCTAGATGATGCCTCATGCATAAGCCTACTTGCGCTGAGCCTTCTATGTTCTGTTGTGCAAATAATTTGTTGGTTCAGTATATTTTACCAATATCAGAACTAATATGTCACCACTAAATTTGCACAATGATATTTTCAGTCCATTTTTCATCGTGTATAATACTTCATACACGTTAAGCATAGTGACATCAAGCAGGTGGAAAAAGTTACTTGTTGTTGCATCACCATTACTACTTGCTTATTATCATTATAACACCATGCTTAGCAATAATCACAGCCACTATTATCATCAGATTTAGTAGCAAGAGGCAGCAAATTTGTTCTCCTTGACAAATGTTGTCAAGGAGGCTCTCGCTTGCATCAGTCACCAACACACCACAGTCATATATAAACATTCCCCAGCACTAGCAATAAGATTAGTATGATGCATTTTCATAGGAATTGGATCTTCTATTGCCAAATATGCTCCAATTGGAGCATATTTGGAAGAATATCAATCAAAGAAAGTGTTTCTGTAGTCAGGTTTCTTGTCAAGTGACCACACACCCTCAACATTTCTTCAGCCTGACTTTCCTTGCCATTATATAAGGTAATTTCATCTTTAGATGGATAGTATTCAGGATATTTATCCTTGATAAATAAAACCGACAATAAAATTGTTGTCGTATTTAGCACCTTGTCACCCCCAGATGTCCATTTTAATTAGGTAATTACTTAACATAAACACATTTCTCTCCATCGTGAAAAAGTATAGTGGCATGGGAACAGAAACAGATAGAGGCACTAAAGAGGGACAGAAATTAATGCAGCAGAGCAGCAGCAAAGGCAAAGTGCCAACCTTAGCTGTTGCACAACCATACGGAGGATAACAACAGTTCAAGACAATGTGATCAGACAATTTTGCATAGTATCAGTGGATCCTAGTGTGGTCACTAAGTGGAAGGTAATATGCCAGACTTGATGCATGTTGATTTAATAAAGCTCAGGAAGGAAACTAGGGCTCTTTGAATTTTTTCCGGTATTGCAAAGGATCGGCAGAGCCATCTAGGAATGGGATATATAATTAGACACTCATTATGACTTATTAACAACTTTGACTGTGTGAACTCACTTTTAGAAGAATTGAATCATCTCATAACCAGGCAATTGAAGTAATGCATGGATTAAGTAGTGGTTCTCTTCTAGCTGCTTCCTTTTTAATTATCCTGGTTGTCTGCTGTGTCCTAGGTTTTCATCCACTCTGAAGCTTGTTTCTCCTGATTATGCAGAATACTACTTTGCTTGTTCTGATCCACCCTCAAATATAATCATATTTTTCCATTATACCTTTATGATTAATTTGCCTAGTTTTTACAAAGCATTCCCATGACTGTAACCCTTATGCAAATAATAAGTTGCCTGCATGTACACATGTAAGTTGTGAGGTTTGGCTAAATCAGTAGGAATTAAGGAAATTATTTTGTACAACAGCATTCATGAAGCTATTCTGCAAACACCAAATAAAGAGCCAGTACACCTTGTTTGATAGTTGATTATCTGAAGTATTGTTTAAATGCTTGTACCGAGTATATTGAATCTTCTTGTGATTACTGTGTGGGCGTCTTAAAGTAGTTTCTTCTCGAGCCTTATAATTCCGTATTTTTTTTTTTATTAAATTGCCTTTAGATTAGCTGTACAGTATTAAGTGATGTCATAATTTTTTTATTCACTAATCTCCACACCCATAACTATAAAATAGCCCTTTTATCATTATAAACTGTTTATTATGAACCCCATATCAATACAAAAGGCTGTTATCATTTGAGATACTAATTTTAAACTGATAATTCATAAATGTTGTACTGTACTTGCTTTTGGTTCTTTTCAACCTCAGTGAAATCAGGTACTTCCTGTTTGAATCAAATTTATGTAGCTTATCTGTGCTGTGAATTGTAATCGTGTATTCAATTTTTGTTTCAGTGGGCAGTGGAAAGTGTTTACTGGAAATGAAGAAGGAGCACTACTTGGTTGGTGGGCTTGGTACCGTTGTCGTCAGCTTTCTCCAGACCTTCAACCAAGTGAATGTTACATGGTTGCTTCCACAGTTTCTTCAAAAATCCTTAGTTCACTTGCACAGGTGGAAGGATTTAATTTTATTGTAAGTAATTTTCTTTATGAATTTATATTTTTCTTGGGTGAAAAATACTTTTAGGAAAGGAGTGAGACCTACTGGTGCTGGTCCTTTAGCTTGACATTACAGTACCATTGTAGCCCTAATTTCTCAGTGTTGTTTTCTATATAATCAGAAGTTAAACCAGTGTAGGTATAGGTACCCCTCCATCCACTACTGTAGGGGTGTAATCAGCCTTACAACCCTGTATTAGTAGTGGTACAAGGGCGAGACTGGAACCATCCACCCAAAATATATAATTATTAATGGCAAATCTGGGGCTCCTGCACTTGCCCGAACATCCACATAAAATAAAGGCTGGTTTATATGGGTATCTGGATTGTTAGAAATATCAGTAGATGCTGGAAGTGGTAAGTTTTAACTAAAACTGTTAGTAAATTATTTGTTCTTTCTATATATTTTTTATTTATATATACAAGAGTTCTTAAATTCTTATAAAGCCACTAGCGCGCACAGCATTTTGGGCAGGTCCTTAATCCTAGTTTTCCCTGGAATACAACCCACTAAATCGTTTAACAACCAGGTACCCATCTACTGCTGGGTAAACAGAGGCTACAGTTAAGGATTGGCACCCGGTCAATCCTCCCCAGCCAGGATACAAACCCAGGCCAAAGCGCCGGGCGAGTGCTTTTCCACTACACCACGGTAACCACTGTAAAATAGTAGGAATTACAGTTTGGCTGTAGTAGCATGAAGTTATTCAATAACTTCAATAGTTGGAGTGGGGTGTGTGGCTTTTGTTGTGACACGTCGGGGTGTATGCATGTTTTCTTAATTTTCTTGCATTTTAAATATTAACTTTTTTTTTAAATATGTACAATGGAACCTCTATATTTGTCATTAATCCACTTCTGACAAATATGAAAACTGACGAACTAACAAACCAGTGAATATGGAAACTCGTTTTCTACTTTCAAACTTTGCAGCAAGTTCTTTTTTTCAATTCGATTGTGATTCTCACAGCTTTCCTTTTTGGCCATTTCTCTTCACTATGCTTTGTTGGGGCCTTGGCCACTTCTTTTTACAAGGATAACTGCAAAGAATTTGCAAAAAGAACAAGAATTTCCAAGAAAAAATGGGAGATGGGTGCTTGACAACTGCACAAGGCTGACTGAGTGGGTCAGCTGTCAGTGTGCTAATCCTGTACCAGGCAGTGGGGTAACGAATATGGAGGTGTTGTTTTGTCATCAAAATGTGTCAAATATTATGCAGATGCTAATAGCAGCTTCTTATACTGTACTTCACAGGAAACGTTAACAGGTTTTAAATGGATGGGTAATGTGTCTTACGATCTACTGCAGAAGGGCAAGACTGTTCTGTTTGCATTTGAGGAAGCCATTGGATTTATGAATGGGTCAGAGGTATATATATTTTTACAATTTTGTTCCATTTTAAATTTACCTGAAAGTTACCTGCTGTATAGTGTTTATTAACTAGCAGTTATTGATACACTTTAAGTACAGTATACAGCCTAGTGATATATTTTATAAGTACATGTAGTACTGTATTAATAGTAGTTTCTCTGATTTTAATGTTAAAACCGTAAAAATCTTGATAACCCAAATCTGACATTAACTGCACTGGTTATAAGCAGTTGCAGTTATCATTGTTTGAATTGTGATTCCCGTTGTTTTCATTTAAACATGCATCACTGTAACTTGAGTTCAGAGTACAGTGGGTCCTCACTTTAATGATCCACACAGTAAGATCTCTCGAGTCGTCCACACAGTTTGTGCTTCGACCAAATTGTTTGGTGGAACAAACAAATGTTTGTATCAGTGAGAACTTTTCACCTGATCTGCCATCAGGACAACACTATTAGGAGTTAGCTAATATAACTGCCTAAAATCTTTTAGGCAGTTAAAAGACCTGGAAGGTTTTCCCTCTGAGTTGTGCAAGCATTTCATGAATTCATGAATGGGTTAACAGATAAACAATTTATTGTACCACTCGGGAATTTATTGGTACATTTAATGGTACATTTATTGTACCACTGGCAAACTTGGACCAAGTGGGAACATATTCCATTAAAAATACTTAAACCTTGTATTGATACAATTAATTTAAATTGGTTTTTATTTTTCCTCATTTAAAAAAGGTTTAAGTGTTGCATTGCATTAGTAATAAAAAATCTAGAAGCTATATCTTGAACATAAACTTGTATTTACAAAAAGTTTGAGTTTGAAAATTTGAATATCAAAGGGTGAAATTTTGCTTGTACTGTACTTGGTACAGTATAAAGTTGGTTAATTAATTTTCATCATGTCATCCTTTTTATGTCAGAAACCAAACTGATCATGAATGTGAATCTGAAGTGTGTAGTGCAGCAGATCTTAATATTTATTATTTAAGGTTTAATTTCAGTGTTAGATTACAAGACATGACAAACACATATAATACAAAGCTTTTGGCCTTTAGCATTACGGTTTATGGTGAATTGTCCCCCTTTGGTAAGGCCGCCATAATGTTCACACGAGTCTATTATTTTTTTCATGCAATATCTGGTAAATTTAGTTTGCAATTGTGTATACTGTAGGATCAGCTTGAAACTTTGAACACACACATGATGGAAAGATATAATTTTTATCATTCTTTACCTATGCTGCTTATTTTGCCCTGAGCTCATGCCCCTGGATACCTTATAAGGATGATAATTTTGCTCAGTTTTATTAAGTACAGTGATGAGATTTCAATAGTTTACTTATATATATTTTGGTGTACTAATAAGAAATCAAACCCACAGGTATTGGACAAGGATGGTGTGTCTGCTGCTATGCGCTTAGCAGAAATGGCAACCTTTTTGTCTAAGCAGAACATGACGCTAACAAGTAAATTAAAAGAGATTTACAAGATGTAAGCTTTGTTATAAATTTGTTTTCTTAGATTTTGAGTTACAGTAATAGGATAATGTTATAGAGCTGAACATACTATTGTAAAGGTATTGTTATACATAATATAAATGCCAAGTTGAAGTTTGACTTGTACAGTATAAGCTTGCAGATGAAAAGTCACAATAACGTGGCTGAAAAATGTTGACTAAGCCACACTAGAAATTGAAGAGGAGACAAAGTTTCAGTCCGTCCTGGACCATTATCAAGTCGATTGTGTAATGGTCAATCAACTTGATAATTGACTTTTCGGTCCAGGACAGACCGAAACATCGTCGTCTCTTCAATTTCTAGTGTGTGGTTTGATTAACACAGTATAAGATTCTTCATTTCTAACAATACAGAAGGCAAGCCATACATGAAAGTAAAAAAAAAATGCCAGGTAATATGTGAACTATTAAGCGTTTCTCAATCTATATTTATCTAGTCGTTAAAAGTATTGTAGTTAAGTGAAGTTAAAGGTAGTAGGAAGAATGACCAAAGCATATTGAGTGTTTGAGGGAGTAGGAATTGAATGCTAACTGTGCACAAGAAAATTAAAAGGAATAAGACTAGATTGAAGCAGTTTGACCCTTTTCCTACAAAGTGTAATTAAAGTTGCCCAGCAGGTTTTGGTCCATAGGCATGAAAAGTGACCTATGTCTAGAAAAAAGTTCCTGTATTTTATATTTTTCAACCAGGTTCTCTGGTTGTCAAAACTGGAGTTTGGATACAGTATGTGCTACCCTGTCATAGACAGTTTTGAGCTTCCGAGACCATCTTAGCCCACCAGGAGCAGGTGGCTTTTTTTAAAACTTGCCCCCTTCACTTGGAAAAAAGCAAGTGAGGATCAGATATGGATCCACTACTCGGGTTAATCGATCCTTAAAATAACATTACCACCTTCACTGACCTCAACTAAATGATAAACTGTGCAAGAATAAAAAAATATATATATATATCTGCCAAAAATACTGTACTTTAAGTGGGAAAAAATGTTGATTTTTCAAATTTGTATTTTTTCCTTTCAAATTCAAATTTCAAAGGGAACAGCAGGTGGGAGGATTTGGTCAGTTGTTTAGAGGGATCTAGTAAATGAACGTACAAATTTTGTAAGGTGAACTGAACTGGCAAAGTTGTCTTTGACGTGGATTATGCGCAATTGTCTGAAAACTGTCGGCTGGGTGTCCGGACATTTCAGATGTGCTACAGTACTTATCTCTCAACAATGCTACCCTGTTATTCACATCAGGTTTTGCATGTGCATACATGTAGCAGCATTTATGTTATCAAATAAGATGTGGGCAATAAGAAATGTCTTAGTATAAGGGTTGGTGGTGCCTAGTAATTTTCTGGTTTGGAAAATCTGTATAATCTCAAACTCACCATTTACCCAAATAAAAAAGAACTATACAAGTTAACCATCATTAGTAGTAGGCATCCTTCAGTCTCGGGAGACTATGGAGTTGCGCTCTGGTTGTCACTCTTGGTGCAGTGTCTGGTATGACTGATGAGGCCAATCCAAGAATGGCAGTCCATCCCACACTGAGCACAGACAAAGTCTGATTCTTGTCTGTCTTCCTGACTACCGGCTATCCTTCTCTGTCTCTGCCTCCAATTTCTTGGCAAGTGACTCCTCAAACTTGGAGAGACCTCTCTGAACAGACTGCCCCCTAGGCTGAACAGTCTGTGGCCAGTGTTTCCCACGTAGCGAGATCGACGTCCATGGCTTTCGGGTCTCTCTTGCATACATCTTTGTACTGTAGCTGGGGTTTGCCTGTTGGACACTTTTCCTGTGTCGGCTCTCCATACAGGAGATCCCTGGGGATCCTGCCATCGCCCATTTGCACCACGTGCCCGAGCCAGTGCATTCGTCTCTGCTTCAGCATTGTGTACATGCTGGTCATTCTAGCTCTCCCCCCAGGATGCTGTTGTTTGTCACCTTGTCCTGCCAGGTGATGTCAAAGATGTGTCGGAGGCAGCACATGTGGTAGGCATTCTTACCACATGCCCTGCCATCATTATATAATATAATGATGGCAGCGCATATAATAATATAACCATCATTATACAGTACAATAGTCCACAAATTTTGTTTATATTTCTTAAACTTTGTTTATTTTCTTTTTCAGATATGGGTATCATACAAGCAACAATTCATATTACATTTGTCATGACCAAAAAGTTATCAACAAGATGTTTGAGAGAATGAGGAATTTTGATGAACCAAATACTGTAAGTACATAACAAGGTAAAGGAAAATTAAGTGGGAAATTCTTATCATAACTATTCAGGCTTATTAGAAAAATGCTTTCCTAGTGAAATTCTAAACTAATGTACAAGATGTTAGGGGAGGGTTTGCTCTTCTTTCATTGATGTCTTATTTTCTCTGGGAACTCTATAAGTCTATATAGTTGTATTGCCCTTAACACTTTCTCCCGATAATCAACTCGACATGTTTGAGGGGGGTGTTTACAATCGAATTGTCACCAGATTCTTAAATTGTCGTGATGCATGTAGGTTTAAAGCTCTTCTTCCATGTGAGGTCATTGAGTAAACTGTTGTAAAAATGTAGCTTGAACCATTCCAGCTTTCCACATGTTGCATAATTATACTGTATATACAGTATATATACTGTGTGTGTGTGTAATGTATGTATATATGTATATGTGTGTGTGTGTGTATATATATATATATATATATATAATATATAATATATAAAATATTATTATTATAATAATAATAATAATAATGAGATCTATCAAGCCTGTTAGTCCTCCACCATCTTGAGCACAATAAGGCGAGTACAAATAGCATCTTGACCACTGTAGTCTCATTTTGCGGAGAGGTGAAGTTAAATTCTGTATTGAGGTTAAAAAAATTCTGTATCAAGTACAGGTAATCTCATTATCCTTGTTGCGTATGACAGAAAAATCAGTGGCAATCATTTGATGCCAGGATTATAGTTTTATGATCATTATTTCTGGGTTCCAACTTAACAAAAAATTTATAATTCACATTCAACACACACATCGTTTCCACCATCTGGCTGTTCAACTTTTAAATTCTTTAATAAAGCAAACTTAAGCTTTTGGGTGCATTTGGTAGATTATTTTTCAGTGTTTGATAAAAAGTTTTATTATAGGTTGTTGTATGTGCATTTGTTTTGGAGTTTTTATATGTATAATGAATTTTGTAATTTATTAGAATGTTACTTGTACTCGAGAAACATTCAACATGTAGGCACAGCCTCAGAATACACACAAGTTCTAGTACATCCAAAATTCTTTAGTTATATTTATTAATTATTTATGAGCAAGATTTATCCAATTTAAAATTTTTACCGTATTATTACTTTAGTGGGACTCATTCTGGCTGGGGTTTCACTGTATTTTAGAAAAATATATAGATACTGTACAGTATTTATTAAAGAGGAAATAAGATTTTATGCTTATTAAAAATGTGTTTAAAACATGTTTCTTTACAGTATCCAAAGAATGTTGGAAATGGCAGATTCACCATAACTGATGTACGGGACCTGACTACAGGATATGATTCCTCACAGCCCAACAAGACGGCAGTTCTGCCAGTTTCCAAGTCTAGTCAGATGATAACTTTCTCCTTCTCAAATGGCTGTGTGCTTACACTGCGAACTAGTGGAACAGAGCCTAAAATTAAATATTATTCTGAGATGTGTGCCAAACCAGAGCAAGAGTGAGTGGTATTTTTGTTCTTGTCAAAGTTTCACAATGTATTTTGGTTAAGTGTCTCATTTAAACTTAGAAAATACTTTATTAGGTTATTTTTAAAAATCAAAGATTAATATTTTATATATTAAAATTAAATGCATGATAAGATTACTAATGTCATATCCGAGATCTATCGTATGAGAAAAGAATAAAAGTTATTGCAAAATATTTGGTTACAGTATGTATTTATTTCGCATCAGGGTAATGATATTGAAATATGGCTGCCATGTTGCTAACAGCTTGCTAACAGTGCATAACTTCATCAATACTAAAACAAATTTCTAGGAAACATTTTGATTTATTAATAAGCACATGTTTTGATTATTTAAAGACCTTTCCCTTGGCCACCTTCCCACCACAGTAATAGACGATCAGAAATGGCTCTGGCTAGGTTACACGTGGGTCACACTCAACTCGTGGGCATTTTATAAAACAATGGCCTGCTTTTGTTTGTCTAAACTGCATTGTCCCACTTACAGTTATGCACTGCCTTGTGAAATGTCCTGATTTTCAGGATGATTGTTAGTTTTGCAGTTCTGATGTCCTGGGTCACTTATCCCTTGATAAAAGCCTCAGTGAATCTGATTCTTTTAATGTTGTGGTGCTACATAGTCCTCCCAGCTTGGTTCTTTCTTTTAATTCTTTTGACTTGTAAAAAATTAAGGGATTAGTTTGTGTATCTAATAACTGTATAACGACACAGGACACTACATTGTTTGATGTCAAAACTAATGTTTTTATTTTATTGTACCGTAGCATATTTTTTTTGTAGATATTCCACTGGCAACTTTAATTATTTTTGTTTTTATTCTATAGTACAGTATTTCATTGTTATACTGTAATTCTAAATCATTTCTGAAACGTCAACAGAGATTGGGTGGCTCTGGAAGCAGAGTTAGGAGAGCTGGTGGACACCGTAGTGCAGGAGCTACTGCAGCCAGAGGTGAATGGCCTCATTCCACGAGCGGACTAACTTCCACACTCCACCGACAATACTTTTTCGAATACATTTATTTCCAGTATTTTACTTGTTTATTGTTTGTTTGCTTATCACGTACAGTATTTATGTAGCATTGAGTTTTATTTAATACAAGCTACTAGGTGCACATGATTTGTGATATACCTCTCTGGAATTGATACAAAATACTGAATCCAGTAAAAAAAGTTTGGTCACAATTGTCTCATTCAATGTGAATTGAATGAATTCAATTACATTGAATGAATTTACTGGATTCAGTTTTTTGTCACTCCCTAAGAAATGTATAATTTTATGTTCGTCATTTAATTTGTACCAGAAACCTGTTTGGCCCAGAAACAATCATTTCATATTCATTTTCTTAATCATTTTTGTTTTTGGTTAATTGTACAATGTGTGTGTGCGTGTGTAAAATTCATGTATACACACACACACACACACACAATTTAAATATATGTACTATATGATATTATTTATTATAATATACAGTATGTAAAATAAATGTGTGTAAATCACACCAAAAAAAAAATAATGCAAAACATTTATGACCACAGAACAAACATGAAATAAGTTCTTTTTTGAGTATACATTATTTCAAAACATCTTCAGAAGTAACAACACAGTGCATACAAGGGTAATAAATATAGACAGGAATAAGGTAGCTACCCTGTGAGGTGGAAAATGTTTATATTAATGAGAGGTCATGAAGATAATACAGGAAATTGTGGGATGCTTATTGGCCCATACATGGCAGTTCTTATTAATGTCCCAATGGGAACTGCTCTGTAGTAATCGTCTTTCTTAAAATTGTTTTTCAATAGCTCGATTAAATATGGATCCAAAGTGTTTAAATCATTACTAATTTTGTTACACTTTTTGGTGCTTTGTATTCGAGCAGATTCAATAAGTATTTAAAATACTCTTTCAATTGGTGATTAAATATATTAACAAAATAAGCAGTGGAGAAATTGTAGCTTGGGAACCTCCATAAGCCTCACAGGTTTTCTATCCCTGACTGAGAACCAATGCTGCAGTATTGTATTGAATTGACAATGGCACAGTCAAACCAAACTACATCAGCATTACCTCAGTGCTTCATGTAACTAAGTGTAAAGTGATATTGTTTGCCTCTTGAGCAAGTACACTTGACTAATTACTAAGGTGTGCTTTGATTATGTGCTGTTTACCAAGATTTATGAGAATTATATAAAGGACATTTAATATAGATATTGTGTTAACAGAGCTAGACAAAATTTTAATGGTATCAATTCACCTGGTTGGAATGTTTTCTTAAACATTTTGTGACTTTGAAGAAATTTGTCAACCTTTGTACCAATTATGCCTATTGAAGAAAGGGTTGCTTCTTAAGTTATATTAAAATATATATAACTTGTGTCCACAAAATACTGTACTTGGTAGTGAAGAACACGCACAACCAACAATGTACAGAAACGAAGATGAGAATTGACTTAAGTTGTGTTTCATTCAGCCTGTAAGAGTCAGATGTTAAATATTATCAGTAATTAAAGTTCAGTTTCATCTTGTTTCTCAACATAATACCAAAGTTTATAAGTTCAAAGGTGTAAATTGTTTGAGCCTGTTGGCCTTCTGTGTTCATTTCAGCGTTACCAAAAGTCAAACTGGTGTTTTATTATCAAGTACAATTGCTGGCACAACATCAATCATGTAAGACAAGAGATTTTATAGAGGCTTTCATCATTTTCTTTGTTAATGTGTAAACAAAAGAAAGGGGGGTGCTTAGAATTTTATAGAAGTTTCCATGAAGTTAAAGCTTGTTTCAACCAATCAGAAGCATGTTACGACAGAGTAACATTTGATTGGTTGTGATATCAGAGATAATTCCTGACCCAATCAGAAGAGGTTTCCTCCACTCTCGGGCATACTAAGATTGTCATTAATGGATCAACAACTTGATTCCAGCTCAGCAGCAATGAGAGGAATGTGTGCAATGTGCCACAGCAGTTTGTTTGTCACCATGTCAAGGCTGAAGGTCTGCTAGGCAATCAAGATAATACAGCTATTAGTGGTGAGAAATCTGCATTGTTGGCGACACTCGTAGCTGTGAACTTCTCCGAGGTAATAGAAAGCAGCGGAACTGTTTTGACAATGCTTGTATTTGCATCGAGGGAGGAGAGTTGTGGAGTAGCAAAAGTAGGGCATTTTGTAGTCAACTGTGAGAAATCAATGCATTAGGGACACAATAAAGAAGAGACCTACGGGACTTAAAGGTCCTTCAAAATGACAAGTACATGGTCAAATAAGTAGCTAATGGAAATCTATGTGGTAAGTGCCTCGTAACTGAGTGTGGTATAAGGGAAACCAGGCTACATACAACCATTAAATTATGTAGAAATACTACAGGACTGGCAAGGAGTGTGTGGGGTGCTGTATAGTAAGCTATCTCGAGAGGGCCACAATAAGACGAGCCTTTCAGCCTCTGGCCGATTTCAAGATTGTAATTAAATTCATAAGTGAGGACGTGCTGAAAAAAGGAGTAAACAGGTAATGTATTATTATTTTATTTTTTGGTATACTGTAGTATGTTAATGAAAATGAGGAAAATGAAAACACAGTGGTAAGAATAATTCCACAAGACCCTCATCCCTGATCTATAGGGACATTTCAAATTGATAATTTTAATTATCTCGAGCAACACATGTAAACTCGAGGATTATTGACTGATACTGTCATGTTTGAGAATAATTGTAAGTGCAATAATACTGTACTTGTGAGCCATCCATTAATGTTTACACAACTGCAGTTTTATAGTTAGGCAAAGACATTCAGAATGTTTAAGTTTACCTGGTTTGATGCCGCATCAAATTTGTGTTGATTCGTTTGTAATCCTCGGTTCAGTAATTATTCCTACAACACATTCTCCACTACATTATCAATGTGTAGCCTAATCTGTTAATTAATTTTAGCAAAGAATCATAAACTTATTGTTAATGTTTCTGACAACTGTCAGAAGTGGCCATTACCTGTGTAGAACATTAATCAGTGTGAAGTGTAATTTGAGCATAGCAGCCATTAAATAGAAAGCAGATATTGGCAATGTTTTAGCAATCGTTGCTACTAATTTATTCTTGCTACAGTGTTTAAGTTGATTTATTTGTTGTATATTTTTTTCTGTACGGTATATTATCTTAACTACTGACAATAACTGAAAAGGAAGCTACAAGCAGGCAGTCGCTGATATAACCCCCTGATTAACAAGCCAAGTATTACTTGGGAAGTGAAAGGTTACGTGACATGCTCACCAAGAAAGTGTTTGCAAAGATTCCCAACCCCTTGATAGAAGTAACTACAGTACAGGCAGGTAGCAGCTGGAGCTAACCAGTGTAGGAGTAAAAGGTAAGGTTATCCTCACAAGAATAGTGTGTGTGTGCATTTTAGATCAAATTAATTACTGTATGGCCTACGGGTGTATGAGCTATGCTGTAGTAGAGAAACTTCAAAGGAGTACTCCGGTGTGAAGCCTTGTTCCAGATATCTCGGTAGTAACAATACATTCCGTAGCCCACATCGAATTAATATACCAATTCATGGCCTATCTAGAATATGTCACATAGCGGTCGGTAGTTATTCAAAGTCATGACATAAACTAGTTCAGTATTAGACTAGAAAAACTTTGTGTACAGTCATTTGTTGATTCGTAGGGTGTTGGATCTTGGCAGCAGCTTAAAAGGAGTTCACATATTTCTGAATTCAGTAGTAACCAAGTTAAGAAATGGAATTGGCTATTGGATAAGCTAGGGAGACATTTTATTTGTGACATAGGAAGACGGGAATTGGAGGAGTCAGAATATATAGGTGAATAAAGATAAGAGTTTGGGGATTCGAACCCTTATAAAGGCTCAGCCGTGGCATGGAAAAGTCATATACATGCCATTTCCAGGCAGTTGAGTGACTATTTGAAGCCCCTCTTTGATGATGGGGTAACTAGTCACTACTGTTTCAACTGCAATGGTACTACTGTACTTTACAGGTCATTGGCTCCACCCACCAAAGGTGTCACCCTTTAGGCTGCCCTTTGTAAATAGATTAGGGCTTGATGGGGTGTTTGTACCAGTGTGGTCAAAATTTTTTGTTTGAAAAAGAGAGGTTTCCCTGTCATGAATTTTACACTAAACAATTTTCTCTTATCTAGACTCTTGTGGTGGGTAACCAGGCCCAAGAGAATTGCACTTCTGCAAGTCCTGCAACCTCTCTTCAACTGGGAGGTGCACTAGGAAATTGCACTATGGTTTCTTTAATTTGTCAGAGCACAATGGTCTTTTGCCTTATTTTTGGGGAGTCCAGCTATCATAAATATACTGGTACTGTAATTGTATCGCCTGCATCCTTGTAATAAAAATTCCCTGGGAACTCTAGTATCCTCTTGGCCCCCCCTGATATTCACCTCATCTTTTTCCCTTCTGCCACTGAAATTTATAACAACATTGCAAATTTTGTTGAAGCCAAACCCTTTACACCCTACATCCCTTTCTAATATCCAGAACAGGGAACATGATTTCATCCTTTTCTTCTTTTCCCTAAGGGTAGGAAAGCTGCCATCGCTCCCATCCTTGTTACATCTTTGTTCCTCATCAGTTCCAATTACCTAAATGCTCCCTTCTCTTAAGAGTAACCACATTTTCATCCTTGCCGCTTATAAGACATTCCTTTTTTGTTACCATTAGTTACCACAAATTTTATTGATCACTACTCTAGGTTACTGCTATATTGTACTATATTGTCTGAATTTTTGATTCAGCACTGTATGAATGGTATACAGTGTCAGTCAGTAGTCTTAAACACTACTTGTGCAATGTTTTGTATGATTATAAGGTATAGCCAATTTTAGAAGTAGTGCAAATAAAATGTAGTTTGCTTCTTTTAAATTGGCTTAATGGTTATTAATACTGTATGAATATTTAGTGTTGCATTGTAATAAATTTCACCATTGACTTACTGGGTAGGAGCTTGGCTATATACCAGTTCATAATTGGTTTGCAATGTAACATAATTTATTAAAGGTTATTCTATCAGAAATAAAGTATCTGATGGGTAAAGCAGATTGTGATTGGCATTGTGTTATACTGTCTTTAGTTTACATGTGGCAATCAAAATTTCTTCCTTGAAAATTGGTATCAAACCTTGTGTGATTGAATTTTCATAGTGGGTGTACAGTACATATGATGCATATATAATAAATATATATATATAGTGTATATACTTTGTCTATCCATCCTTCAAATTTGTAGGTGGTGGAATAATGAAGGCTAACCTTCCTTGAACACTGCTCCTTAATGTCCAAACTGGTGTCCATCTTAGTCGTGCATCTCCTTGCTGAATGTCATGTTTTTCAGTGCTCGCCTTCTGCACTTTTGTTCTCGTTCAACTTCAAGTTCAAGTATTTATTTATTTATTTATTTTATTTATTTATATATATACAAGAAGGTACATTGGGTTTGTGAGAATACATTGAATAGTACAGTATTTACAATCTTGTAAAGCCACTAGTACGCGCAGCGTTTCGGGCAGGACTATGTTTATTGAGACAAGAAAAAATACATCTCAAAGGGATAGAGTAGCTTAGGCTAGTTCTACACCCCCTTCTACTTCAAGTCTCTCAAGCAGCGCACAAAACTCAGTGAGTACAAATACACAAATCACAATACAAGAATCCCATTTAACATTGTAGGTTAATATAGTAAACACAGCATATAAGTGTTACACTCTTGTTCTCGTAATCCTTAGTGATATTTAGCATCCTATGATTATCCCACACATTTGACGGTGCTACATAGCCTTACCAGGTTTGGTGCCACCTTTTGATAATTACTAACCTGTGCGTTTTTGTTCTCGTATTGGCATCTTTAGTGATGGCGCATGTTGAATATCCTACGACTTTGATGGTGCTACATCATTTCAATTGGTGAATGATGAATAGGAAAAGTGGTGAAGGAGATGGAAGGTAATGAAAAGTAAGGAAGGTGGTGATGGAGTTGGCAGATGATGATGATAATGATTGCAGACGTGATACCTCGCGGTGTCTGGGTAGTGAAGATGATTACAGTGATAAGGATGATCGCGTGTAGATGGTTACAGTGTCGAAAGCTGTTTGTAGTGAAGATAGTTACAGTGACGAAGACGGTGTGTAGTTAAGATGATAACAATGATGATGACTGGGTAATTAAGCTGGTACGTGATGATGATTATGTAGTTAAGATGGTTATAGTGTATAAGGTTGTTTGCGGTAACGCAAGTACGAAGATAATGCGCTAAGGCAGTTCCACTCTGTCCATCTAATTACCCAAAGCTTCCTAGCATTTCGTAAGTAATGAAGAAATGTGATATATATAATCACTATAATGTTGGTGCTGAATGTTAGTACATGGAAAAAAACATATATTTACTCTGAAATAATATAATTTTATAAAGAAATTTATTGGCAGGTGACGCCACAAGAATGTTGTGGCTTTGGGTAACTACATGGACTTGTAATTTCGTTATAAAATGATATTATTTCAGAGTAAAAATATATATTTTTTCATGCTCTACATTCAGCACCAACATTATACTGAGTAAATATATCACAATTCTTCATTACTTACGTAATGCTAAGAAGCTGTGGGTAATTAGACGGACCCAATTGACTATATAAATTGTGATAAACTTAAGAAAGTTAGTCATGAAGACTGGGAGTAGTTAAGATGGTTACAGTGATGAATATAATATGCAGTGAAGATGTAGCCTTGCCCGAAGCGCTATGCGTACTAGTGGCTTTAGGTATTGTATGTACTACCTCTATCTTTAAATCAAACAAAGTGTTTGTACTGTAACTTTGCAACTATGTATGTACTTTTCCTAAATAAATTATTATTATTATTATTATTATTATGTGGTGTCCGTCATCCAAATAATGGAGGGGTAACCCCCCCTCCCTTTAGTAATATATATGGGGGGGGGGGAAACCCGGTTGCTCCCTGAATCTCTTTCTCCCCTTGTCCCTCTCATCATTTCCCCAATATTACCCCTCACTCATCTCTTTAGCACCTCTCTTCCCTACCCTTCACCTTCCCTACCCTTCAGTAACAAATATCCTAAATAACATGTGTTACATAATAACAATAAATAACATTGTGTTACTGTAATAGTGGGCCACCACTATTACCGGGAAATGGGCCAGCACTTTGCGTTACTGGGAATGTGGACCACCACTTTGCGTTACCAGGAAAGTGGGGCGCCTTTCAGTCAAGTGAGAGAGGTGCATCAGGTGATCTCCGGGGTGAACCCCCAAGTATGCGACGTTTGGGCAGGCCGGCGGGAGTCTCCACACACAAGTGGATCACGGGATAAGCCCACTGTCGCAAAGCGAGAGATTATCCTCAATAATCCCCAGTGTTTGGAGAATGATGCCTCGGCCCCGCCCACTGCGTCTCCCGCAGAAGGAGGCGCCCCTGGTCCCACCCTGAGGCCTGCTCACTGTGTGCCCTGGAGGAGGTACTGGCTCCACCCTGAGGCCTGCTCACTGTGTGCCCTGGAGGCGCTGGCCCCACCCTGAGGCCTGCTCACTGTGTGCCCTGGAGGAGGCGCTGGCTCCACCCTGAGGGCCTATATGGTGGTGTAAATAGACAATTTTTATATATTATCCTCAAATGTATGAGGGCGAGTCTGGTTGAGACAGGGTGGGTCTATGGTGTGAGCGTGGGTCTTGCTGGGTCTGTGGTGTGAGGGTGGGTCTTGCTGGGTCTGTGGTGTGAGGGTGGGTCTTGCTGGGTCTATGGTGTGAGGGTGGGTCTTGCTGGGTCTATGGTGTGAGGGTGGGTCTTGCTGGGTCTGTGGTGTGAGGGTGGGTCTATGGTGTGAGCTGTGGTGTGAGGGTGGGTCTTGCTGGGTCTGTGGTGTGAGGGTGGGTCTTGCTGGGTCTATGATGTGAGCGTGGGTCTTGCTGGGTCTGTGGTGTGAGGGTGGGTCTTGCTGGGTCTGTGGTGTGAGGGTGGGTCTTGCTGGGCCTATGGTGTGAGGGTGGGTCTTGCTGGGTCTGTGGTGTGAGGGTGGGTCTTGCTGGGTCTGTGGTGTGAGGGTGGGTCTTGCTGGGTCTGTGGTGTGAGGGTGGGTCTTGCTGGGTCTGTGGTGTGAGGGTGGGTCTTGCTGGGTCTGTGGTGTGAGGGTGGGTCTTGCTGGGTCTATGGTGTGAGGGTGGGTCTGGCGGGGGTGGACGGGTGGGTCTGGCGGGGGTGGGTGGGTGGGTCTGGCGGGGGTGGGCGGGTGGGTCTGGCTGGGGTGGGCGGGTGGGTCTGGCGGGGGTGGGCGGGTGGGTCTGGCGGGGGTGGGCGGGTAGGTCTGGCTGGGGTGGGCGGGTGGGTCTGGCTGGGGTGGGGGGTGGGTCTGGCGGGGGTGGGCGGGTGGGTCTGGCTGGGGTGGGCGGGTGGGTCTGGCTGGGGTGGGCGGGTGGGTCTGGCTGGTGTGGGGGGGTGGGTCTGGCGGGGGTGGGCGGGTGGGTCTGGCGGGGGTGGGCGGGTGGGTCTGGCTGGGGTAGACGGGTGGGTCTGGCGGGGGTGGGCGGGGAGCTCCACTCATGATAAGGGATTACCCACGACCTCATACGATCACCTGGGGAACAGGTCTTACTGTCATGTATTAATTGGGGAATGATTTACGACCCTGGCATGTGTAGTGTGGCCAGGAGTCTCTCGTGCAGTGTGGCCCGGGGTGTAGTGGCCCAGGATGTGGCCCCCTGCCTAGTGTGGGCCAGGGTGTCTTCTGTGTTGTGTGGCCCAGGATGTGGCCCCCTGTATAGTGTGGGCCAGGGTGTCTTCTGTGTTGTGTGGCCCGGGGTGTGTCACACAGTGTGGCCATGGGTGTTTCCTGTGTAGTGTGGCCCGGTATGTGTCCTATTTGGTGTGGCCAGGTGTCTCTCCCTGGTCTTAATCTTTTTATTTTTATCTCATGTGTCTCTTGTTAAGGAAGACTGGGAGTGTGAGGAACCGGTTGGCATGTTGACGCCCCGTCGGACAGGCTGATATACCATAGAGGTTACTGTGAGAGCAGTGTGGTTGTCATAACACATTGCTTCACAGTACTAACCTATAGATCCCGGGAGACGATGTCTTGTCCCAGTGGGCATTCCCTTGCTTCTCTTATCTCTTGTGCTACGTCACACCCTTGGCTTCAAGAAGGATTTTGGTCGCTGGAACTGTTGTTGTTTTAGATTCAGCTACTTAGAACAAAAGTTCCAAAGTAGCACGGGCTATAGTGAGCCCGTAGTGGACCTGGCACAGGAGCGGGGCTGTAACTGCGCTGGAACTCTTAGCCAGCCAATATATGTATATATAATATTCCTACCTCCTCCCGTCATATACGTTGGTAAGTTAATTATCAAAATTATCAAGCTGGGAACATAGCTTCCTTTAACTCTGGGTTCATATTGTTGCTTCGACTGTGCGTAGCTGTCTCTTCTTTCATTGCATATGAAAAAAGTTGGTATAGTGAGGAGTCAGAGTATGATGGGCCAGTGTGGTGATGGAGAGGTCAACACGGCGTGTCGGAGGTGAGGTGGCGAGGGACAGGTGGTGTGGCTGCTTCTCTACCTGTACATAATTACCGTCATCTTCCCAGCTCATTAATCATGTTGACATATTTCAGAACAAGTCGTCAATTCCACGTGGACCTTCCTGTGGGTGGTGGTGGGGCAGGGGATGGTCGGTCCGATGGTAGTGGGGGGGGTCAGTGATGGTGATAATGGGGGGGGTGGGGTAGATTGTGGTGGGGGATAGTGGTAAGGGGGATGATCATAGGGGTGGTAGAGTGGGCGGGACCTTCCCCTCGTTGCAGATTAGCGCTCATGACGGCTGTCTCCCACACACAAGTCACTGAGCCATTGTGTGCATGAGTGCCTGTGTGTCAACTCACTAATTTGTACTCGTGCATTCAACCTCCGTCTATTGGACCTTGCTAATCCAACCACCGGTCGTCCAATGCGTCATCGTAGGAGACTAGTGGTTAATGCGTCACCGTAGGAGACTAGTGGTTAATGCGTCACCGTAGGAGACTGTTGGTTAATGCGTCACCGTAGGAGACTGTTGGTTAATGCGTCACCGTAGGAGACTGTTGGTTAATGCGTCACCGTAGGGGACTGTTGGTTAATGCGTCACCGTAGGAGACTGTTGGTTAATGCGTCACCGTAGGGGGACTGTTGGTTAATGCGTCACCGTAGGAGACTG